ATCTGTGCTGCACAGTATTTTAAAAAAGAACTTCCCTGATCAAACTGAGCCACAAGCGTTGAACTCTGCGAAACCTGAGAGTGTTTTGATCAAAAATCTGTTTGTGTTCCTCCCTTTTGGGTTCCCTGCCACAGTGATTGGGATCCTGCCAGGCATATTTTGCCCTCAGGATCTGTGATGCAGAACAGGAGAGTACATTGGTGTATGTCTTGAAGACATGATTGCTCCAAGAATGTTCCTCTTTTTTTCTTTAGAGTGGGAAAAGGAATGAAACTATGAGGAGTGAAACATAAATATTCTGACTTGTTTCTGTGATAAGGTGCATGACTGCAGTACATGTTCATGGCTGTAGGTACTCCAGAAACAAGGACAGATAAACCTAATTTCTGAAAAACGTATTTATAGTCTGTGTGACCATCAAATTTAAAAGCACAAATCTTACTTTAAATTTATGATGTGGCTTTTTGAGTGATAAATCATTGAGGTCTGAGTACATGCATGAGTTGAAAAGCTTGAGAAATAGAGACAGTTTTTATTCCCTTATCTCCCTTCCAAAGTTTAAGTAAGCACAGTTACAAGTTGTGCTTCTCTTTTTACATCAGGAGGAGCTGATAAAGAAAGCAGGTGACATTTGAGGGTTCACAGTAAGCTCATCAAGATAGAAGCTGGGAAGGTGCCTGGTTGGAACAGCACCTGTACTTCTGTCCTCTCTTGAGGATCTTTAAATCCAACCCCTCAGTAGCATCCCAGTAGACTTTTTGAGGCTTGGGAAGCCACTGCTCCTCTGATTAAAGTTTTGTTGGCAGTGTCTGTTTTAAAAAGTCTTTTTTATACATGAGATATTTTTGAGTTTTCTAGTTTTGGTCAGAAAAAAGAATAATTAGCCCACAACAGAAAAATAATTTTCTTACTTAAACACAAGATATTTTCAGTGGCTGTAATTGTGGCCTCATTTAGCAACTTTAAGGTGAAATTCTGTTCTTTGCATGTTCAGATGCTTCAGATTTTGAAGTTGATTCTCTTGTAGTCTAAAGTTGCCTCTAAGATGATGAAATTATCTGAAATATCAAAGTGCAAAAGTGATTTATGAAATAAAATTTACGTCCTAGGTGGAAAATGAAGAGTTGAGACATCTTATGTGGTCTTCAGTTCTGTTTTACAAAACTCCCAATGTGGAAGTGATGGCTTGCGTGCTTCTCTCAACAAAAGCTATTTACTTTCTGTTGGATGATTCTTTTGTTCATGCTGATGAGCACCAGTCAGGTAAAAGAGTTATTTTTAATAAGGTTACAAATTTAATCCCTCTCTGTGTGTTTGTCTTCAACTGAAGTACCAATTTTGGTCAGTAATCTTACTTGGGACCTCCTAGTTGAGGGGTACAGTGGCAAAATTTACTGTATGTAAAGTATTTATTAAGACTTATGTTGAAAAACCAGGGCCTTGAGTCACGTCTGCTTCTCAGACAGACCTTTCCAGCTGCCACTATATCCATGTTTTGCTGTCATTTCACAGTCCCTACCATCACCTAGGCAGCTAAAGGCCCTTTAATAACCAAAATGGTAAGTGGGCAGTAGTGACCTTCAGGGTGTGCATTCAGTTCAAGTGGATTGTTAATGCATCTGCTGATTTAACTCTGGTATGTGACAGCTGCTTCAAGAAATGCTGCTAACAAGGAGATTCAGGTGTATTTATTGCTTGAGAAATGATTAGCCACTGTACCCACTTTCTTCTTAATTTCTTTCTTCAAGTGTGAGATAAGTGTAGGATTTTAAGATAAAAATTAAGTTTATGGGCAGAATAATTTTTTTTTTTACATTTTCATTATATGTATATTTTTAAAACAGATTTTTGGAACAAAGAGAACTCAGATTGTGAAAACAGTTCTTTCCACCTCTCTTGCTGCTTTGTGCTAAAACTTAATGACCTGCAGTCAGTAAATGTTGGCCTATTTGACCAATACTTCCGCATTACTGGTGAGTAAATCTTGTGCTTTGAAGTTTTTCCAGTCCTGCTTTGTTTTAGTCTTCTGTTGGATGGATTCCTGTCTTTATTAGTGAGATGGAAGAGTGTATGATTTTGTTGCTTCTTTTTCTTGAATTCCCTAGAGCTGTAGTTGAACTATAAGTGTACATCATATTTTAAATGAAGAGTAATTATATTATGTATTTTTAAGGGCTTTGTAAGGATTCTATTGTTGTTTCCAAGGATTTCAAAGATTTCTGAATAATGAAGCATGTTTTCAGGAGAAATAATCCTTGCAAGAAATCATTTCTGATGACAGCTGCATGTTGATTCAAGAAATGATAATGCCACGTATGGATTTGTGAGTGGATTGTATTCTGTGTTCTCCTCAGGCCATTCTGCAGATCACATTGTCACCTGCCTGACAAGGGATAGCTACAACACTCACACCTTCATCCAGCAGCTTATGGCAGTTCTGTCTTTGCTTGCACGCACACCTTCACCTGAGCCAGTAGACAAAGACTTCTACTCTGAATTTGGGAGTAAAAACACAGGTGAGTGGTCCTTCCTACATGTCATGAGTTATTTGGGCATCAGACTTAAGGCTTCATCTAAACTCTAGTGATTAAAAGTGGAAAAACTTGAAAGCAGGGACTCTGTATTCAGTGATCTGATAATGCTTTCAGTGAGTTCAGAACGGGGAGTGGGAAGGAGGCAGAGGAGGTCACTTGGTATGGAGGTGGATAATCTTTTATTTGAGAATCCAGCTGTGTTTCCTTTATCTTCTGCCATCACCTGAACTAATTGTGTGGTCAGAAATTTGCAGAAAAGTATGTTGATAATGCAAGAAAGACTCCAGTAGAGATTTGCAATCCAAATATAATTATTCAAATATTGTATATGAGCAAAAGCACATATGAATAGATACAAAACTTGAATTCTTCTCTCAAAGGTTATTGCTTATCCTCATACATTAAGGAAGTATTATATAATACTAAAATATAATAATGTATGTTTCTTGCAGGAAAAATGGAGAATTACGAATTGATTCACTCTAGCAGAGTAAAATTTATTTATCCAAATGAAGAGGAAATTGGGGACCTTGCTTTTCTAGTGTCAGAAAAGATGGATGGTTTGACTAATCTTCCATCCCTCAACATCCTTCTGTATGTGTTGGCATTCCAAGTAAATCACGGTGAAGGATCTGCTCAAAACACTAGTTCACTTCAACCTAAAACACTTATACTGACCAGCTCTGATTTGTTCCTCTTTGATGAAGATTATATCAGTTACCCACTACCTGACTTTGCTAAGGAACCACCAAAGAGAGATAAGTATCAGCTTGCAGATGGACGACGAATCCGGGATTTAGACAGAGTACTTATGGGTTATCAGACATATCCACAGGCCCTTACATTTGTGTTTGATGATGTTCAGGATCAGGATCTGATGCAGAATTTAACACTGGATCACTTTGGAGAAGCTGGTAGTGTCCCAAGTGGAAATACTAAACAAGAAGGCAGCAAGAACAGAGAGATCCAGTGGTACATTTTTATCCCAAGTGCAGAAAGCAGGGAGAAATTAATTTCCTTGCTTGCAAGGCAGTGGGAGATCCTGTGTGGTAGGGAACTGCCTTTGGAACTCACAGGGTAGTTATTGCACAACCAGGTGATTTCAGTGTGTATTATAAGGTAAAGCACAGTGTTTAGGTAAACAGCACCTGTCAAGTTCTTTGTTTCCATGAGGAGCTGACCTGGACTCCCTTGCTCCCTAGTGCAGTGAACATACATAGTGCAGTACACAGAAATATTCTGAAGTGTTAACTGGGGACTGAACTTCTTGTACAGTCTACTTTTTATGCAATAGTATATAGTGAAAAAAAAAAATCATGAGACATCCTGGGAAACTGTATGGAAAAATTAAGGAGTCAACACTAGATAATACTGTCGTCTGGGGCTGTTAAGGTTTCCACTGTTCTTCTGTATATATCAGTCTTGCTGTTCTATACAAATTCTAATGTGTAAATAAGGGTAAATGCTTGTGTACGTTCAAGTGCAATGTTCTTTGTACAAGAAGTATTTTGGGTATGCTGCTAATGCTTATTATTTAATGATCTTACAGTTTTACATATGTTTTTCTTTGAGGCCAAATGTAATTATTTGCTGCCAATCTTCAACTTAGCAGTGAAATTTGAGCCACAAACAGGTAAAAAATTTTCTTATGAAATTATTTTCATAGGCATTCTTTTTCCTTACCCTAGGATAAAAGAATTCCCTGGTAAAGATCCCCTCAGTATCATCTGCAAATTGGAAATACCCAACATAGGTATATGAGCATTTTGTCAGCAAATAATGAATTTGTATCTCTGAACACAAAGTCTTTCTTTTTGCCTATCTTGTCAATACAAATAAAGTGTAATTTGACAGTTTTCTCTTGGCCTTGTCTTTATTCAAGTTTATATCTTGTGTTTGCAGGATACCATATGGCAGTTCAGCAGCACATATTATGTTCCTAGAGTGCGTTATAAAGTGTGGAATATGCAGCAAGATGAAAGAAGAAAATAGTTTCTTCTACTGTAGCAAGATTATGTTAGTCCAGAAATACATTTGAGTCCTGGAAACTGAGGATCTGCAGCTTCTAAACACAATTTAAGGAGGATTTATTTCAAGTATTTTTGCTTCTCTATTAGGTACCAGGGATTTGCCTTCCAAGCTGTCATCTTTTATTTGAGTGTTACTGTGCCCAACAAAGTTTAGCCTCCCCCACGACACTGAAATCCATACTCACTGTTTTGAAGACAAATATCGAGACTTTGAAAAAGAATGTTCTGTATCCAGTGATATTAAGAAGGGAAGAACAGTTTGGATACTTTTGTGCCAGCTGATGCTGCTTAAAACTGATGCCCCTTAAAAACCACAGAGAGAAATTTGGATTGGAAGAGACCTGGAGGTCCAACAGCCAACCTTAAAACAGGGCAAACTTCTAATGGATTGCTCAGGGCAAACTTCTAATGGATTGCTCAGGGCCTGGTCCAAACAAGTTAGGAGCTTTCTCCAAGAATGGCAAGTCCACAGTGGTTAGCTGGGAATTTGGTGGTTTCACGGAGTATTTTTCTGTGCTGCTGCATAGAAAGCAGAGCTTGGCTGTGCTTTTTGGACTCCAGAAGCCAGGAATGTTGCAGTCAGTGCAAGGATGACAAAGACAGAGGCAGCCAAAGTCAGATTGTATTGCAGGATTCTGTGGAGTTCCCTAAGCAAGAAAAAAGGTGAGGAGCATTACTTGAGTGCAGCTCTGCTCAGTTTAGCAGAGGAAACCTAACCCCTTAAGCTCAGACTGATTGGACAGTTAAAGTAGGTACTGCTTGGGGAAAACTGAATTTTCCTGTACTTCAGAGCTTTTCTATTCCCAGAAATCTCAGAGTTACTTATGTTCATTTAAGCGTAATTCCTAAATTAAAAATCCTAGGGATAATATAATTAAAAGAAAGCTTAGATCTTCACTAGTTTTTTCTGAAGTAATTCTGTTAATCACTTATCTATAATTCTCCATAGTAACACTTAAGGGGGGGCCTGTGGCAGCCTGAATAGTCTGATTTGCAAAAGCAATTGAGAGCTTCCCAGATGAACAGGTCATTTACTGTGAGGCTTATGGTTTTAAGTGAATGCAAAGGGAATCTGTAATGAGTCCTTAGAAACTGCCTGGGATTTGAGCCAACATGAATAGACATCTCTGCCTCTCCTATATGGGTTATTCTTGTCATTGCTTCTGGGTAAGTCAGCCTTGCTTCTATCTCATAAGTAAGGCCTGTCCTGGGGGATGCCTTGTGCCTGAGACAGAAATGAGTTCTGTCTTTGTAAAAACCAACTGTTTAAATGTATTTTAATACACTAGTGGATATCAGAGAATCTTGTATGAGAGTAAGCAATGATAATCCCCTGCTTATCACATAGTTTGAGCAGGCAAGGGCTCTTTTTCATATTTTATTGCAGAAAAAACCCACAACTGTGATTAAACTTGAAATTCTTTTAAGTCCACAGCTGTTTAAAGCATTGAATCTGTCCCTTTGGATCGGATTATTAATCCAGGAAACACAAGCAATTCCCCTTTGAGATCTTGCTAAGCACCAATCACATTTTAAGATCAATGAAATGCTCAATATGTCCTGCAGTGTGTCTGGATTCTTCCAGTAAGTATTTTACCCTTGGTACTCTCAGAGCTACAGAATCGCAGAATATGCCAAGTTGGAAGGGACCCACAAGGATCACAGAGTCCAATTTCTAATCTAAATCTCTTCTTTTTTTAGTTTAAGTGCATTCCCCTTTGTCATATCCCTGCCTGCCCACATAAAAAGTCCCTCTTTAAAAAGCCTCCTTTAAACACTGAAAGGCTGCAATGAGGTCTTCCTGGAACTGCCTTTTCTCTGGGCTGAACAACCCAAACCCTCTCAGCCTGTCTCCACAGGAGGGGTGCTCTGTGTTAGAACCTGCTGGAGTTAGACCTTTGTGGGTGTACATTTCTGTTCATTTAAGTGCAATGTTAAACTGAAAAAATTGATGCACTGTCACTCCTCAGCACCAACCTGTTGTCTCTATTGTCTAATTGTAATGTAATCTTTTGATCTAAATATAGGGATTTGAGTGAGATGTTCTTGAAAATGCACAATCATTCATCTTGAACTTCATAAACTTGTTTCATTTCATAAAGATTTCTCAGAACTTGCCACAGTTTCTACAGAAAATCACCAGAATGAAGTCGCTTTGTAAGCAGCTGAGATTACACAGAACAGCCTTGGTTTCTTCCTCTCCTTTTGCAAGAGCACTACAAAGCCCCCCTTGCATTTTTCTCTTTAGTAATCCCTTTATACTCCAATCCAGCTTTCAACCCCTGTTCAACATTAAGGCAATGTCTGAGTAGGTGAAGTTACAATCAGATACATGCACAGGCAGGTGGGCAGACCTTTGTCAGGAAAGTATCTCCTGAACTATCCCAGACTTCCATAGCCTGACTTTGCAGCTGATGTAGATATTTGCCACTCTTAGAAGTCCTGGGCAATGATTTATGTTCAGTGTCATCTGCCAAGGATCTGGCCAAAGGTTTTAAAACTTCCCTTGTATTAAATTGAAAAACTCACGCATGAACCTCATTAGGAAGGAAAGTAAATGAGGTGCTGACCTGAGCTAAACTGTTTTTCTTTGCAAGAAGAAATGACAGTGACCTGCATCCTGTCTGTCCTGTGTCCATTCCCGTGCTGCTTTTACAGCACTCTCTGGTAAGCCTGGCTGCAGATGTACTGCACAGTGATGTATTTCCATCAGCCCCTCTGGCTTGACTTCCTGTTCTTGTCAGCTTGGATAAGGAGGGGTTTTTTAACTGAAGTAGCACAAAAAGCTGCTGCTTCTTACTTGGATGTCTCTGATCAAAAAGCTTACTTCTGTGGTGCTGAGGGGCTGAGTTTCAACAGCCCAGACTTCTAATAGTGAATGTCTGTGGGGAATTTAGTGTCTGACTCTCCTAGTACCGAGTGCTGCTTAATAAATGGGAAAGGTGCAAAACTAAAACCAAGAGAAGGGAATATGTAACTGCTTTTCACTGCAGGGGAACATGTAAAGGAACTGAGAGTCAAGAGAAAGAAATAGGCCAGACTTACAGCATTTATGTACTGACACTGGTACTGCTGCCCTTTGAGGTTTTGGACTAACAGGATGTGAGCAGCCACAACAATTTCTTCCTGAATCACTCGACAACACTGTGCTCAGACAGCCCTACCTGTCTGCTTGGAATGGGACCATTGCATGTGTGTGTGTGTGTGTGTGAGAGAAAGATAAACAGACTTCTACTAGCTGTGCAGTCCTTCCAGTGGTTTTGCTTTTATCAGCAAACTTTAAAATTCCTCTTTCTTCCAACTTGCCAAGAGTTAAAAAAAAAAAAAAAAAGAAAAAGAGTATTGTGTTCTCATCTCTTCAGCAGGACCCTGAGGTGTATATTGGATAAGTGTGGTTCAGCTGGCCCTTTTACTACACACAAGCACTTCTGGCTTGGCCTGTTGAATCCTTTGCTGGTACCTCTTCAGACTCACAGCCTTCTTACACACTGACAATTCAGAGCAAAGGGACTTAATTTTCTTTCCCAGAAGAGCAGAACAAGAGTCCCATTCTCTTCCTGGATGTAACCAAATGGTCAGCTCCCACAGAAGCTGTGTGGCAAGGTGGGCTGGGTGGTAAATCACTTGCCTTGGCTCTGTAGTTTCTGTAAAGATTGCTTAAACAAAAGATTTCAATAGCAGGAAATTGCCCAAGCTGGCCAGGGCTGCACAGACTTCACAGAGCAGGGCTGGTGACCCAGCATTTTAAAATGCAGCATGTGATACAGGCAGGGAGGCTGGAAGGGTTTGTAGTTTTATCCTTTGCCTTTACCCAGGCTTTTTTGTTGTTGTTTTGTTTTGTTTTGTTTTTTCTTCCCATTAAGGAGGTTGAGTAATTTTTGCCAGCAGCTTCTCAACTCTGAATGTCAATTCAGAGAAAAAATGCCAGGTCTTAGGTAAGTTACTTTAGAACCCAACCTTTCATCAATACATAAAGCAAAAAGACAGAGAGAAAAATCCTGAGCCCTGCTGCTTGCCAACAGTCTGGTGGTGACTGAGGAGACTCAGCCCACAAAGTAAATGATTAATGTTTCGTTGAAGCAGTCAGTGTCAGGGCCAGAATTTAAAGATGATGTTTCTGAGACTTACACTGCTAAACCAGTCACCTTCTGCCATGTGGGCAGGAGACACTTGACTGATAAATCAACCTCTGTGTTTTCCAAGACAAATAGAAGCCCACATGCTGCACCTCACAGATAAACACACTGGCAGACAGCTGAGAACTCCTACTGTGTGTTTTAAAATTGGATTTGCACAATCCTATTTCAATCAAACATTGACTAGGACATGAATGAAACCCTTTTACCCTGCTTGCACAAGGCCATTTGTGGCCTCTGCCATCAGATCTTTACAAGTCTTGCCTATAAATTTTCCCTTTGATGAAGGTTTTTTTCCCTGGTTTTCCTGTCTAACATATTCCTTTAATTGCTAGTGACATAGCAAGTCCCGTGGCTTTATTTTTAATGCACTACTAGGTATTTCCTCTGTAAATTTTGGATGGTTTAGAAAGAATCAGATGTTGAACTCTCTGACAGGTCTCAGGATCTTGCTTTGGGAGACTTGGGGGATTTGAAGTACTTTGTGCAGTTGCCTGTGTGCATGAGCTGGTCTCATAAAGTAAAGAGTGAGGGAACTGAGGTTTTATTTATTGACAATTTTGAAGGGTGTTGGACAAAACAGTGGAATACAAACAATTGATCCAATGCAATTTGCCTCTAAGGCATAAAGTTTTTATTGATGTCATCCATGAGAAAATCCATTTATCCGCCTAGGAAATCCATTCATCTGCCTAGGAGGAATCCATCTATCAGAAAAGAGTGGGAGCAGTGTAAATGGAGCAGTTATTTGTGTTTGTTTGGCTCAGTTTTGCTCCCTGTGCTATTTCTATTCTGGTGTTTCCATCTTCAATGACACTACCAACTGAACTGCCACTGTGAGCACATTGGCATCTTTCCACTGTGCACTGAGCATTAGTAATGGCTCTTGGCCACCCATTAATTTGGAGGTGGTTGGTGCTTCACCATCTTACTGATTTCCAGAATCATGAAGATCCAAAGTTGTTGCAGATTTTGATGTTCCAGATCCAGCAGCAGTGATGAGCATTCTCTCACAGCAGCTCATATGCAGTGGCTGAAACATGCTATTTATGCTGCTTGATCAGGAAAGTAGCTTCTGATTACAGATGACCTTTTGATTTTTCAGTTTATGCTCTGCTGCTGTACAATGGCACTACTCAGTGTTTGCATTTTTAGCCTGTGTATTGCTGTTGTATTGCTTGCCTTTAATTGAGGTCAGGTCAGATAAGGAATTTGGCTGCAAACCTTTTGATGTTGCTGTGAATCTGATTTATTTAATTCAGATAGGAATTTCACCAAGCCTTTCTCTCCCTTCCCTTCCTAGTTCCCTTGTAGTAGGTCAGATACAGTGATGATAAGCAGCAGTGAAAAGCTTTGATAATAGTGATGATAAGCAGCAGTGAATCAATCTTTGTGTGTCCTTTTTCCCCCTATACCATTTTCAGTGTTGAACCATTTAGAAAACTGTTTGAAGATTCATTAAAGGAGCCAATGCATCTTCAAGTGCCTCAGGGTAAGCTAGTTCCACCTTAAAATCTTATCAGCTATGTGTGGATGCTGGCAACTTAATCCCTGTGTCACACAGCCAGCTCTTGGAAAAACCATCAACAAGCATCACCATCCTTCCAGGCTGCCTGTTTTAGCTGTGGGTGCCCAGCAGGCAGCATGGAGCAGAAAAACAGCCTCATTCCTCTGTTTCTCTGGCCAGTCCAGGACCATGATTGTAGGCAAAGAAAGCACTGCACAGCTTCCAGGCTGATCATCCCCTCTACAAGAGTGTCCCCACTGTCCACTTGTGACTTTGCCATCCCACCAGAACTGGCCTGAGCTATGATGCCTGTGCCTCAACTCAGAGATCTGCAGGTACCAGATGGTTTCCAGAGCTGTGTCACCCTCTGACCTTGGCAGTGGCATCAGCTGGGCAGCAAAAGTCCCAGGGCTGCGTTATCCTGTAGCAGGACAAGGGGCTGAGTCGTCGTATGGAGCTGTGGGCTGGTACTTCTCACATGGGTTGCAGTGGATGGTTGTGTGCCTTATCTGCTTCCTGTTAGTGCAGGATATATAACAGGGCTGGCTCTTCATCATGCTGGCTCTCCCTGTAGGATGAAGGAAGAAGGAAAGCACAACTGACGGCACTAGTAAGTACAGCGGTTCTTACATGTCAGCATCTGTGTCTTTGTGTGCGTGTAGGGGCAAAAAAATATTAATGTTCTCATTCTTTATGTAAGCACAAGAATAACTCCCTGTCCTGATTTCATTTAGGCATCTTCATGTACTATTAATGGCTTCAAAAGAGAAGGTCCCTCATTGCTCAGTAGGATTTGCTGCTAACAGCATAGTGGGCTCTCTTGGCAGTGTAGGGAGATAAAGGCCATGTAAAATCTGTTAATAAGCAGTTACTGGTTCTTTGTAATGTTCAAAAGGAGAATATAAATTGCAGACTGTACCTCAGGTTAGCATATATTTCTTTTAATCCTGTTTTGGGACTTTCCTATTCTGAGTGCTATGGAAGAGCTCCTTGGATTCATCAAGCTGTCAGCAGTGTTTGGGAGATGATATATTTTGCCATCGCTGCCATAGCACCTGCAAAATGTGATGCTTTTCTTGCTGAGAAAGTCAAATACTTTAAATAAATATCAAAGCCTCCCCAAAGTGCTTGATTGATGGATACAATGTGCTTTGTTATTGTTCTGCAGTGCAGCCCATCACTCATATTGCTTTGCTCATGCAAACTTTGGGACAGGCAGTGGTCGGGTCTACCTTCTCTTTGAGATGTTGTGGACATGTTAACACCAGTGGTAAAAGGAAATTAACTTACCCTTCATGAATTCATGGTATTTAAGTTTGCCCATTGGATTTGCCTTCTGTTAAGCACACAGTTAACCTCTTTTCATTCCAATTAGTTGAAAACTAAGGATTTCCTTCCTTCTGTTTTGAACTGATATGTAAGAGGAAATCCGTAGATGTTCCTGTTTTGAGTAAACCTTTTACTAAGGAGTTCTGCTTGTGCATTTAAAAAAAGAGTAGAAAGAAAGAAAAAGGTTGTGTTGACTCAGATATAACACTAGAAATAGCAGATCCATTTCTGAAGGCTTTGCAGCCAAAAAGCACAGTGCAAAAATGCTCTCTCCCTGTTTACTTTTAACCTCTGGTTTGTCTTGGATCTGATTCTTAGTAGGCGGTGTTATCTTACAGAAATTACAGCTGCTATCACCACCCCTTTTGTGTAAGGGGTCCTGCCTGTAAAAGCATGAAAATGCATCCTCCTGGATTGCTGTTTTTCTTCTTAGCAGCATGCCTCACTCCCACAGTGGACTGCCAGAGTCAGAAGGTAAGTCTGCGAGTCTTTGTTTAAATGTTCATTGAACGGTTCTTCGTATTTGGACGGTTGCATGTTGGGAAATAATCCCCCCTCCACAAAACTCCTTTTTTCATTTACATTTACTTATGTGCAGAATAACATCCATAAAAACTTTAGGACTGTAAGGTATCTTCTTTGCTGTGTGTGTAGACCAAACTGACGAACTAGAAGTAAAGCTGAAGGGAGCTGCTTGAGTTTTAGATCGGGTTAAATTTGTGTCTGCATTTGGCATTGAACTCAAAAGAAGCAATATCAAAGGAATACACTCAGCATCTTTGTCTTCCTCTAGTTCAGTACGTGGGATGGGAACTTAGTATCCATCAGGAGAGGTCCTTAAGTTTCCCAGAAGTTAATTTAAAGAAAACTTTTACAATCATCTCGACAATTCATTGCTTTGCAACAGGGTAAATACGTTTGTTTCAAGTATATTTCCCAACAGCTCCCCAGTAAGGATTGTGGAATACTTTCCATTCTGGATGTTATTTCAGTTTTGTTGATTTTATTTCTATCCCTTCATCTCTGTTCTTGCTTTTAGCAGCAGCATCCAGAGGAATGTGTGATGCCTTTGTGGGTCTGTTCTGCTCTGGGGTGAGGCAGCCCAGTTCCTGGAGGCTGGAATTCACACTAATTCACCCCATATTGTCTTCTGCCATCTCCCTTCTTGTGTCCTGCTGTTGGAGGGGTGAACTGCCCTACAAAGTCAGAAGCTGTGGGTGGCATTTGGAAATTTTATTCCCTGGAGATCCAAGCTGTGTAAGGCTTGTCTTGCCTTGAATGACAAAACGGGGCCTTGTGGGGAGTGGACAGACCTGTGAATCTTAAAGACTTAATTTAGAGAAAGCCAGAGCACTGGAAAGATGCTTCAGTGTCAGAACTTGGGTTGGAAACTTTTGTATAGAACCCTTCATAAAAGGGTGACTACTGGGAAGGCTTGTAGGATCATTGAGATGACTTGAGCACAAACATGAAGTGTCTCTGCTGGTGGATCTTGTTTGCCTGGAGATGTGGGTTCCAGTACAGTTGTGTTCAGAGCCACAAGCTCACATCTTCAGCTGGTCTAAGTGGAAATTTAAGTCTCTCTACTTTGAGACACTGTGTTGATTTCTGTAATCACTGAGGTGTCTGGCTTGGCTTGAAGCAGTTACATTATCAGGCAGTGAGTACCCACTTACAGAGAAGTGAAATGTTTTGAGTCACCTCTGGAGCATTTTATTTAATCTGGGAAAAAGAACTCCCTTTTAGATTTTTTCCCCAAAAGGTTCCCTATTTTTGGTGAAAGAGAAGAAACATTTGAAAGGCTAAAATGGAAGGTAAGGAAGAGTAAGGGTCTAATGGAGCCTTCTCTGATAGTTTAGGATAGCAACAGAAATGCTGTGATTTCACAAGAGGCCTCCACGGGCCTGCAGGGGCCATCGAGAGAGAAAAGAGGGATTTTGTGCTACCTGTTTTTCAGTGATGTTACCTCAGGGCTCTGATTTGATGGTTCAAACATGACAGTGAACCTGTAGCCTAATTTGGATTTTTATACCTCTTGCTGTGAGCTGGGAGAGATGCAGCAGATGTGAGAACCATGAAAGTTTGTGTGCTGGGAGGAGGCCCATCCCAGGCCGTGCTGGAGGAGGAGTGGAGGCAGGTGGGAGATGTGGGAAGTGGCCTCAGCATCCCTGAGCTTCCAGTGCTCTGCAGTGAGAAACACCCAGGGCAACAGTAGAACTTGTGTTATGTGATCTCTGTACTTGATTGTTCATCCTCATGCTGAAAAGTGTCTTCCTTGAACAAATGTGAAGAGTTTGCGTGTCCAGGAACTGCTGATCTGTTCAGCTAAAATGTTACTGAGAACTTCTTGGGGAGGTACACGACTATAATGACTCAAGCATGTGTCTGCAGCTCTATTTTGTAAAGGACAAGTGCACTGGAAACTTGGTGATTCATTAGATAATGACTATTTCCAGAACTGGCTCCCAGGATTGTTGGAGCTGAACACTGACGTCCAGATCTGTTTTTCTTTCTTCCTTGAGGTTTTTTGCTGTGCAGAAGGATTTGTGTTATGGTTTGGGAGGAAAAGACAAAGGATGAAAAAGAGGGGAATTACAAAGTACTTCCCCGCTTATTCGCTTGAAGTGGAATAAGAGAAACGAGCACTTGAGCAGTAAGGGACATCTGTTCAGAGAGGAGGGAAGGAAACACTGCAGCATCCAGAGGCTCCCATGTGTCTCATCTGAGCACGGAGGGCAGTGGCTGCTCTTGCACAAACAAGTGTTTGAGTGCAGGCAGAGAGCACAGCCCAGCCTGGAAGACAGAGCTCAGTGTGGACAGAGGCACCACCCTGACTCTTCTTTCAGCTACAGTTGGATGTCTTCTGGTTTAAAAGCCTTCTTTAATTTTGGAGATGTTTGAGAGCATCAGTCTTCCTTTTCTGTTCCTTTGTGCCCAAAGTGTGATACAGCCCAGGCTCATCACCTGACCAGAACAGTGGCTGTCACCAGGCAGCCCTGCTGCATCACAGGGGCAGACATTCCCTCTTGCTGCTTCCTTCCCAGCCTCTTCACACTTGGAAACAGCTGTCACACATTAGCCCAAGGGAGAAGTGCATCATTGTTTTCCATGAGGCTGTGCCCCAGAAGCCACCTCTGACTCAAACTTCTGCCTATTTTTCATCCTCTCCAAAATTTGAGTATCCAGACTGTTGCATTTATGTCCCTTGATTCCCTCTTCTGCTTTCCTAAGCAGCAAAACTCTCCAGAAAATGACTGCTTCATCAGTTCTGTCACTCAAATAAGAAGGGAAATATTTTTTTTTATTTCTTTTCCACTCAGCTGTTCTCTTCCTCTTTCCTCCTGCATGTTGCTGCTGACACAAGCATATTTCCTTATAAAAAGGGGAAGGTCTTACTGGAAAGCTGCCTAAAACTTATGAAGTGTCCCAGTAGGGTAGGGGGGATTCCACAATAACTGTCTTGTCTTAGAGGTCTGCAAATAATTAAACATGCCAACAGGGAGGAGTGGCAGCCACTTACCTCTCCCACTGTCCTTCATTTAGAAGTGGAGCCACACTGATGGAGGAAAGAGAAAGAAAATGGAATAACATGTGAATAATGGTGTCTTTCTCCACCACTGTGGAGAACCACCATCCCAGAGAACACAGGCCCAAATGTGTCTGATGCCTGAAAGTAAAGATGAGATAGAAGGTTGGAGAATTTTAACTCAGTGCTTTGTGCTCCACTGTTTATGTGGTCTTTTTTGTGCAGGTAGAGGGGCTCAGACCCCAGGGGAAGGTTTGTGGGGTAATTCTAACTCACAGGAAGGCATCCCCAGCTGTGCTTCTTCCTAGGGCATCTTCCCATCCCTCTTTCCAAGGCATTGTCTCAGGGAAGGTTAAAACTGGCGCTTGATGAGACTAGAAACATGGAGAGACTAGAAACATGGAGATGTACTGTTCTGTGGGATCGGTGGGCCTGGCTTCAACCTGCTCCTTTCAAAGCCCAGCTTTAATCTGGAGTCCTAATTTATCCTTCAGTCAGCTGGTTGCATGGACTTGTTCCCTACCCCATCAATGGCACAGCTGATCCATAGAGACAGAGTACTCCAGAGGTGGCACCTCATTTATTCATCCATATAGTTTGTCTTCTCTGTTGCTCCATGAAAAATGGGAAGTTTCCTCTAACTGCTCTTTGTGCCAGTGGGATGGAAACATAAGGAACAGCAAAGATGTTTTCTGCTGGATAACAGTAAAGCTGGTGCTCACAAGACAAGGATGTGTGGGTCTGGTGGATCTCAGATTGGTTTTGAGCTGTTTGTAATGCAGGGGAGTCCTTGACGTAACAGGTTCCTTGGGGATTCTGCTTCCAGGGGAAGTGGAGGCTACCATATGGTAGGAAAGCCCCAGAAACACAACTAGAAGTCAATATCCATTGGGAAGGGCCACCACAGACATAGAAATAATTTTCTTCATTGGGCAGCATTCTTGCATGGATGGCTGCAGAAGGTGGATCCATAAACATGGGAAAAAGCTCAGCAACTCCAGTCAGAGGGAACATGGATATGAGTCATGAGACATTCAAGGGAAATGTCCCTGTGGACTTGGGACTTGAGGGTTATCTCTCAGGAGGTTTTCCTGACAGGGTCTGCTGGCTATCATCTGAGAGGGCCTTCCTGAGCTGTTGATAACTGATGGGAAGCCCTGGGCTTCCTCCCTTGCCTTCAGGCAAATGTATGCATTTGGGCTTAAGTTCAGAGGAAGCAAAGCTGAGATTGCTGATGGGAATCCAAAACAAGGAGTTCTGGGCACAGTTCTGCTGCATTAACAGCATTGTTCAGGATTGGCTTAAAAAAATCCCAGATCAAGGCCTCCTCCCAAAATTTGATCCAATGTTTTTATTTTTAAAAAATACAGTGCCTGTGGAGGCAGAGCTGAGGTGAGTTGTGTGGGCTTTGTCCAGCCAATGACCTTTGGGGGCATACACAGCTCATGCCTCCCAGCTTTTCTCTGTCATCATCGGTGGCAAATATTGTCTTTTTTAAAAATTAGCAATAAGGTTTCCATGCAGTTGCTTGATTCCATGCAGGAGTTTAGAAATTCAAGGGAATGCTTTTAGAGTAAAATCACGAGTTTTAGTGACAGGTTGGCATATGATGATGATCATTCACTGTACTTTTGTCATCTGCTCTGGTTGTGTTTCATTTGGAGAAGCAAGGTTGAACAGGGTTACAGAAAAGCCCTGTGAGGAAACCAGAACCCCTAAAGTTATTCTGGTTGGGTGGAAGGGCTTGTGCTGATAAATCACCTGCCATGTGATTTATCCAAGTCTCCTACCTGATATTCCTGACAATGTTTATGGAGTCCTTCTGGCCCAGGGTCAAAGCACCAAGGTGTTCAGAGAGGTGCAGAGCACTTTTCCTTATCATCCACAGCCCTGCACCTTCTTGAAGACAATTGCCAAGAGAAATATTTATGTGAGCAGCTCCTGGCTCTGGGAAATAGACTGAGCCAGCTCATTCTGTTCTTCAGACCTGTGGAACAGCAATGAAACCACCAGTGAACTGGATCAAATCAATAGCATGGAAAAGAGAAATGCTGCATTGCCTTTTAATTCAGTGGCTTCTGGCAAGGGTTATTAATTCAGGGCTTGTCCTCACATACCACTGCCATGTGTTTGTAAAAGATGGGCTGGAATTAGCAGTGCAGAGTTGTGATTCTTTTAGAAATGGTTAGAATTTTTGCTGTGGGGCGTAGGGAGAAGATAAGATAGCTGGGATGTGCCCTGCTGCCTTCTAGCTGGGATCCAAGTGGATCCAAGCACACAGCAGTGTGATGGTTTAGCCCCTGGCAGTGTGTGGTACCTCCCAGCAGCTGCACTGGCCACTGCCCTCCCCAGTGGTATCTCAAGAATTGTGTGAATTGATAAAGATGTTACAAGTTGGCAAGGTAAGTGGCTGGGATAACAGTTTCGTTTGGGGCTTGTTTCCATCCTGGTTTCTCTTTTTCAGTTAAAATCCATGCGATGCAATGTCAAGACGATGTTTACCTTGAACACAGCGTGTACTGCTTGTGCTGCAGCACCTAAAATGTTGTGTCCAAGAGGCTGGTTAAAGACCACCCAAGGATTAGGGGTGAGAGACTGCAGGTAAGGCTTATTTCCTCACTTATTTCCTCACTGTGTCAAGCTTTTGGTGCAGCTCTGCTATGCAAGGAGTAGTGTGTGCCTTCAGGAGAACACACATGGTTTTGAGCTGTAAAGGTCCAAGAAGTTTTGTTTTCAGATGCAGGAAAATGGGTTTATGGCCCCTATTATTGTTGCTTTTGTCTCCTTGCTTTTTGCTGAGCATAAGGTTCTATATACACAGAACAAATTGCCTCTAACTTGCCCTAAACAACCTGAGCTTGCTAATCCTGCTGTGGCAGCTTAACAGAGGTCTGTCTACCGCAGAAGCCTATTTCAGACCCAGAATTCCTTGGTGGCTTATTAGGAAAATAATATAATGATAGTTCCCCTTGTATATCCTCCCAGCTTCCAGCAATAATCCTCTGAACTTTTTACCTTCCTAGTTCACTTTATGACAATTGCTTGTTCATGTGTTCCTTGCTCTTACTCTGTTGAGCTTGGCTGTAATAGGAAAAGGATGAAAGAAAACTGAATTTACTAGGAAGCTTTTGAAAAATGAAACTCTATAGATTATTGTTTGTGTATCTATTCAGTAGTCAATGTTAACTGTTAATATATAGCTCCATTGTCTTCTCTTTCTGTGATTCTCTATTCTGTCAAAATACTTTAAAAATAGTGGTGGCAGTTTTGCAGCTTGTAGCAGTTTTTGCACACACACAGGAGTCAGACTGAAGCCAAAGCAGCAATGCTATTGAGACAATTTCCAAGTTCCTTTTGGGAAGGATGTTGTGCCAAAAATAAAATGGAGTGTAAGAATAATGTGAGTGTATGCAGCTTTTCTGAGTGTTATCTGCTCTTGTGGTGGTTGTTGGACAGACCCAAGAATAGTTCTGTGCTGTGTACGTGCAGAACAAGAGGCACTGCCACCAAGGACTCACCCTGTGTGGAGAGGGGAGGGATGAAGGGTTGAAAGGAAGATGCTTCTTTGAGGGATTTAAGGGATTTGTCCAAGATTGAATAGTGAATCTGTGAATAATACAGCTATTAAATCCAAATTTATGGCATCTCAATCTGGAATTTTTAGTAAAAAGCAGAAAGAGACAAGTCCCGCGAGAAGATTTTGTTCTTCCAAGGTTATTTTAGATGTGAAGTTGAATGTTGAGACACTCTGGAGTGTCTCATGTCAGCTTTACATGTCTAACCCTCCAGCATCCAAGGCTTCCATCCTGATGCAAGGTCCTGTCTCATGCTCAGTCCCTGACAGATTTCTTGTAACCAATCTTTGAGGCTCAGATCAATGGGTATCCTTAGAGAAGAGACAACCAGAGTCCAACCTCTTGTGTTCCTGCATGGCAGAGGGGATGAGGGCCCTTCCTTCCCTTCAGAGCCCAGGGCACCGCAGTGGGACTGCTTAGAAACCCTCCAACAGGCCAGTTCTAGGTTTGTGTTGTAATCATGAATCTTGGATTGTTCTCTTTAAGATACTCTGTCAAGTTAGGAGAAAATACCCTTTCCCTGCCAGGGTGTCATCACATATGTAAGAAGGATATTGAAGAGAAAAAGTGCTGTCCAGGATTCTGGGGTACAGAGTGCTATGGTAAGTTTTTAATTTTTTTACAATCATCTCTAACTGTTGAATAAGTGAAACCAACTTTAACAGGAGGCATTAAATATACACTGAGGTGATTAATTTTCATTATTCCTTCAACACTCACAAGGTCTTCATTATCTATCTAGGAAGTTCAGCACAGAATCTCTTTGTTCCAGATGAGTTGGATCCTCTTGCATTTAACACATAACATAACCTCCTGCGGTGGAACTTCCTTTTGTCTCTTCTTTAAAAATAAACTTTTGGAAAGGGATGTTTTTGTTCCTCTTTAACAAAGTTTCCAAAGGAAGAGGAAGATCTTTCTGATGTCCCTCTAGTCTGCAGCACTTGTGCCACGTGTGCTGCTGTGTAGTCTGGGGTTAGTCAGCCATTCAGCCACAGAAAATAACCATCCCAAAGCTCCCACTCAGGTTTACGCCAAGTAATGAGAATTTGTTTAGTCTTGTCTCAAAAATCCAAAAGCAAGAACTACTAAGCTGAACATTTTTTCATATGATTGACTGCTGGGATAGGGAAAGGCACTCTCCAGTTATGCAGAAAATGGGAGATTTTTTTGAGTGCTTGAGCCTGTCCTCGCAAAAAAGTGCTTTGAATAAGCAACTGGCTTTGTCAGAGAAATCACATGCCTAAAATGATCAGAAATAGTGCCCAGAATTTGGAGGTACCCCACTCCAAAGATCTGTGGACCATGTTTTTCTGGGCACACTTACAGCTCTTCCTGAAGTCAGGGAAAGCTGGAAATGCTCAGTATCTTTGCAAAGCAGGCTCCTGTCTGTCCTGAGCTTCAGAATTCCCCTCAGATGTTTGAAATTGCCTCTCACTGATGCAAGCAGTGGCTCAACCTTAAGAAATGCTTTAGTGCCTTTGTTGAAATTTAGTTATTTATGGCCTGTTGGGACTTTTCCTTAGACTTTTATTAAAAGGCCTTTCTTAGCAGCCCAACTGCTCCTTGGTGCCATTCCAGGCCACATTCAGCAGCTCTGGGGCAGTGTTAGGTGTGCTGGATAATTTGCTGGTGAAGAGGCTGTTGCCTTTGTACAACTGGAATACCTGGGGGAGGAAAAGATGGAAAAAGGTGGTGGTGGTTCAATCTAATCTTACCTGGCCTGTCTCTTACCTGTCAGAGTGTCCAGGTGGTTCTGAAAATCCCTGCAATGGCCATGGGACGTGCTTGGACGGGATGCAGCAAAATGGGACCTGCATCTGCAAGGTCAGTACCTGGTTTATTCTGAGGGTGATGTGTTTTTGTCAGAGGGGGTTGTACAGTGTCTGTGCACAGGTTCTGGATGAAGGCTGCCCTTCTGCCTGGAAGGTCATTAGCAGCTTCTTCCATTCCAGCATCAGTGTCTGTGGTTTTCCTGGAGGATTGGTGTGGTCTGCAATAGCACTCTTGGTAAGGATATGGAGTTGGGAGGAATAGGAGGAAAGGAAAAAAGAATTGCATGAATGTAACCCCCCGATGAGTTCAAATAATCAAGATCTGTCTGTGGCTGCAAGAAGCCATGAAACAGTTGGCTCTTTATGAGGTGCACCTTTTCCAGATTTGGATGATATACTTCCCACATGGATCAGTCCTGCACCTTGGAAGGCAGTCTCCCTCTTTCAGGAAAAGCAGGAGGAACCATAAAGAGAATTTAGGACAGATTTTTTTTTTCTCTTTCCAGACTTAATACAACAAAAGCACAAAAAAATCCCTGCACATTTGAACTGTCTAGAGCAGTGTTTCTAAAATTTCTAGTTTCGTGGATCAATTCAGACTTGAAGTTTTCTCTTATGAACTGTATGTTTTTAAAGCATCCTTAATTAATAGCTCAAATCCTACCTCTTGGACTCTTCTTTGAGAAAAGTTGGGTTTGGATTTAACTCAAAGACATCTTATATCAATTAAAATATATGCTGAAGGACCTCAAGCCCTGTAAAATCAATGTAAAAAGTCCCACTGGCATCAGTGAATTCCAGATTCATTTTTCAGAGAGATATCAGAAGCCAGCTGGTACATTCCTGCCTGTCTCTAGTCAGGACATCATTTCCTCAGTGCCCTCCAGAATTTTTCTGGCATTTTCCATGCCCTCTGTGTGTCAGTTTACACTGTGGTCTCCTTTGCCATGGGGCTGGTTAGTGCTACTGGGGCACTGAACAGGTCAGTTTTCTTCACTGTGCTGCTTCAGGCTGTCACTGAAAATCAAAAATGGGGAGGGATTTTGAACTATACCAGTGTGTGGAACAACAGAGTGATACAGAAAAATAATACCTGGCACATTTTGGGGCCCTTCTAGGAGCAATACAGTGGGTTTGCCTGCCAGAACTGTCGAGATGAAAATCGTTTTGGCCCAGACTGTCAGTCAGGTAAGAACATGTAATTCAAGTGAAACCTCCACAAAAATAACTGAAAGCAAGGAAGGAGAAGGGAGAGGTTGGGTGAGGAAGGGTGCTGGAGAGGAGGAGAGTGGCAGAGAGCTGGCAGTGTTCAATAGCAGGTGTCTGGGCATTTTGTCTTTGTGCCCTTCTCTGCTGTCCCATTAGACAAATGATTCTCAGTCTTTCAATCAAATCAGTCCATTTTTTCTATTGCAAATCTCTCTCTCCCCCCTTATCAGGGCTATCCCAGTTTCCTCTCTCCTTTTAGCCAGTTGTTACCTACATCCCTGAAACTACCCATATTCACTGCTCAACTGGTTTTCAGACTCCTGTAACTGCCCCACTTATCTCTCAGCTTCTTCCTTGTTGCCCTCCATAAAAAATCATTACACACAGTAATTTGCTTTTCATGTCTGGTGTTTTGGGAAGTGATTTATGACCAGTGCAGCCTGACTGTTAAAGGAGCCCTGTTTGTCCAGCTCCTGGTTCCTTGTGTCCACACAGGTGAGATAGGAGTGATCTCATTGGTTGTGCTCATGTGTTGTGCACGTGTGCCTGAAAAACTGGTCTAGATCTTGTATTCAGAGCTGCTCTTGCAGGGCAGTACCTTGTCTTCTTGAGCCCAGGACACGCAGTTTACCCTCTCAAAGCTCTGCCTGCCATGGCCAATTTTTATAAGGAGCTACTTTTGCTGTGGCTTATTGGTGGGAAATCAGGATGCCAAGTCCCAGGGCAGCTGGCCTGGAGCCCTGTGTGTGCCTGGAGCCCTGTGCCCTGCCTGGCAGCTGAAGGTCAGGTCTGTCTGGACTTCCCTTGCAGTGTGTGACTGTGTGCACGGGGAGTGCAACAGCGGCGTCGCTGGGAATGGGAACTGCACGTGCTATGGAGGCTACACAGGCCCCAGGTGTGACCAAGGTAAATACATTGGGAGCTGCAGAGGGGCACTTAAAGTAATCTGAGCTGTGGGCTTGGGTGCATGTGTCCCTGAAGGTTCAGGGGGGCAATGAATAGGTTGGAAATGTAGAGGGAAGAGGATCTGAGCTTTGGAAATCTATCCAGTCAGAGGGAAGAGCTGGGGTCTGCTCCCCACTTTGTGACAGTGGCTCAGATGTACCACCCCTTTATGCCTCTGTTCTGTCTCTAGAAACCAACTAGAACCTTTCTTGTCCCTAAGCTTTGCGGGATCTGGCTACTTAGGCTGCCAGGGATTTAGAGCTGCCTGCACTGCTTATATCCTCTGGCTTTTGTGCCAGCTTGGGGTCCTCTGGAAACCACATTTGCCTTCATGTTGAAGTAATAAGTAAGATAAGCTACACCTTCCCTCAGGGCCCTACCTACTCTCTTTGCTGTGTGATTGCAGAGCTGTCCCTGTGCAAAGGCGTGACGTGTGAGCCCAACAGCGAGTGTGTGGTGAGGGATGGGACTGCAGAGTGTGCCTGCAAGCTGGGCTACAGAAAGCTTGGGAGCACTTGCCAAGGTGAGAAACTTCTCAATGACCCTAAATGGTCCCCTGTTTGGAAAAAATCTCATTGCATTGGTATCTGCAGATGAGTTTGATCACGGTGAACACAATGCCTACATCACTGAAGAGGCTTAAGAACCAGCTTTTTAGGAATCCCTTTAAGATTAAGGGCTAAGTTTTTGTCTCTCCCCTCACTTGGTCATGAAAGCAAGAAGTGAATTAGAGTTGCAGGTTCCCTCTAGCACTCATTTATAAGTATGTACTAAATAACTGTGACAGCAGGGTATTAGTGAGTCTGAATCAGTTTAAATAAATAAGGTGTGTGATTGACAGAGTTCTTCACTGACTTCAGATTTAAGTTTGTGAATTGGTTTTCTTAAAAGAGAGTCAATAAGATGCATTTGATAAAATAGCTATGGACAGCTCTGTTTTCACTGGCTTTTTGCAGATTTTGGTGATCAAACTGCATTTTCATATATCCTCAGATATGATGGAAAATCAGAAGTAAATCCAAGCATCCTCTGTCACTCACACTTCTGTTACTAAAGTAACTTGAAAAATGTGTCATCCAAATTCCTCAGATTTAAAAACCCCAAATGTCTGCTGTCTGAAATGATTTTATTTTCCTGTGAAATTTTAGAAGTTTAATAGTACAAATTCCCCCATTCTTTCCAGGCCTTTTGCATTCTGCTGTGCTGCAGCAAGTGCTGTTTTGAAAACAGAAATTTGGTTATACTCACCTCTCATCCCTTTACTTGCAGCTCAGGATCCTTGTTCTCCTTCCCCATGCTCCCCCTTCGCTGTATGTAAAGCTCTTGGATCACGAACATATCAGTGTACCTGCAAAGAAGGATATCAAGGAGATGGGAACATTTGCCAGCCCATAAACCCTTGTGTTGACAACAATGGGGGCTGCCCAGAAAACTCTACAATTTGTGTTTACAGACGTCCAGGAGAGGTAAGAACAACAACAAAGGTGTGAAAAATGACCGGGTGAGAAGCTCTTCAAATGAACTGGTGATTGGGTTGATCAGATCTGCTCTCCTCACCTTACACTTTGCAAAGGGAAACCAGGCAGCTCTCTTCTAGGGTAACTTAGTGGGTACAAGGTGATGAATGCAGCTCTATGATCACTGTGTTGCCTTCCCTTAGGCAACTTGTGCTTGCAAGCCTGGGATGAGTAAGAGAACTCCTTCGTCCGAGTGTTCTGCATTTCCCAATGATTGCCGGCAGTATTTTTGCGACGTGACCTCCAAGTGTGAGATTAATTCTCAGGGGAATCCTAGGTAAGCCAGTTTAAAGCCTGTAAATAAAGAAGCTTAATCTGCAGCTAGAATGGAGACTGAGTTGGGATGAGCTGAATTTTGAAGAAACTGAGAGTGATCTCAGGAATATGGGCCACAGTTGCCTTTTGAGAAGAACCTGTTTGTAACAAACCCATTGAAAGAGAAGTTTTACATCTGTCATTGTAAATTTTGGCATGTGGGTCGCAAGATGCTTTAAATCTGGGGTAGCAGGGCCTTCTGTGATGTGAACTGGAGATGTAGCCTCCCAGGTTAGTGGTAATAGTAGGTTATTATGAGTTAATAATCAATCATTAAAGGGGAAATATGTGATTTGTTTGCTCACATTTGCCCACACTTGCTTCTGAGGGATAAGTCTTTGTCTCTTCTCCTACTCAGGCCTATAAGCAGGAAATAAATTAGAGTTGCAGATGGACAGGGAAGGGAGAAATTGAGTGAAGGAACACCAGACATCATTTAGTCCTTTGGAGCAAAACACCTAGAAGTTGATACTCCTTACATGGGAAATATTGCCAGATATAGGATCATTTTTGCATACCTGAGGATTTTGTGTGTTATCAAGAAAAGATGGAGCTTGACTGAGACTGAAGAGGGAAAGAGCAAGCCCATCTCCCTGACCTTTCCTTCTCCAGTGCTGCTGAAACTATTATCATCTGCCTGCTCCTCGTGTGCTCCAGGCCAGGACTGAAACACAGTGGCTTCCCTTTCTGAAGGTCTGCAGGCACAGAGCAGGACACCGTGTTCAGCACAGTCCCTGCCTTATATATGTGTTCCCCAGCTGCTGGCACTCAGCCCTTTGAGGCTGGAGTGATGTCAGATCCCTCCCCTGTGTCCCATGTCTTTGCATGGCTGAAACAGAAAGAGCAGAGCCAACCTTGGACAAAGCCCAAACGGGAAAAAACACGGTTATCGGCCAGGGATCTTCAGGAGTCCCTGAGTAATGACTGTGGATCCGTGTGAAGCAGGACGGAGATTTTCACATGTAGATAAGCTTTTCATGAAAAGTCATCAGCCTGCCTGGGCCCCTCATTGAGTTGAGATGAACTGTAGATACCTGGTGTGCTTGAGCTGGCACTTCTCGCTGAAACCAAGGGGTCACATAGGAGCTGTTTGCCAGATTGCCATTTAACCTGTGATTTTTATGGTTTTTTATGCATTACCTCAAATTTTCAGATGTTGTAATGACTGGTACTGACTGAATATCAAGTTAGAAAGGTGTTGATAAATATATTGGGGATATCTGTACCCTGAACTATACAGCAGTCCTTATGTTGGTTTTATCAGAGAAAGCATCTTCATTCTTTTGGGATAGTCTACTCACATTTGTTGAATGTGTTGCAAACTGGTTTATAATGATTTGTTATGTTTCATTCTTGTCTCTTAGCTGTGTGTGTAAAGAAGGGGAGATTGGAGATGGGAGAAGCTGCTATAAAGATCTCTTGGGTGAAATAAATCAGCTCAATTTGCGAGGAAGGTTTGCTAGGAAATTTAACATCGCCAGGAAAATGTTTGGTAAATGTTTTTTGGTTTTGTTTGGGGTGTGGAACAAATGTGGGGATGAGAGTGTGTCAGAAAGGGCTACTTTCAGCATAATAGATCTGTTTCACAATGTATGATCATGAGCTGCAAAATTAAACACATCACATCTCTGAACTTATCTTACCAGTTCTGGATTGGGAATTTGGGAAACTGTTCAGTATTATGTATTTGACAGAATGAGAACCCTTTGGGTCATGTCAAAGCTTATTTATGTTAGATACCTTCTCCAACTTGTCCTCTGTCCATCTTCTATCTCCACTGCCTTGGCAGGAGCACAGAGAAAGGGCTAAAAGCTCAGCTTAGCTTTTGTGAATACCCCTCCTCATATCAATGTTGCCAACACTCATTTTTTGCATATGTTTCCATAATAATTTATGCTATGGGCAACCACATGAAGATCTCCACCCCTGTGCAGTGGGACTTAATAACAACTTTTGTTGATTGAGTGACAACTGTGGGTTCATAGCAGCTTCTCAAGAAGCAGTTAATGTTAAAAAATACTGATGAGACACAAAAATTAGTTGTTTCAAGGGGAAGACTGGGCCCAAGAATAAGGTGGTAAGCATGGAGGAACAAAATTATTATCAATATTCTGCAAATTTCAGCAGTGATTCAAAGTGCACCAGAGTCACCAGTCCTTCAGAAATCTTCTTGGCAAGAGCATAAAACTCATAGCAACCAAACTGGGCTGTGATAACAGTACTAAACTCCCTCTGCTTCCTTGTAAACAAGTACTAGTTACTTGCACCAGGCTGATAATGTGTAGATTGACTTGTGCTGTTAAGGAGAGGAATAATTATTGCTGTCGTTAAACCATACACCAAGTAATTACTTCACATTGCCCCTCTTTTTACAGCTTCTGGTTGCTCCATGTTGCTGACTAAATACGGGCCCTTCACAGTCTTTGTACCATCCCTTCTTCCCATTCATGATAGAATGGAATTTAATGTAAGTTTTCTTGGGTGTAGTGAATCTTTGCTGTCTTAGGGTTCTTTCCTGTCTGAGCCCTGCAGCCTGTAAAAACTGATTGACAAAAGAGAGGAACTTTTGCAGGCAATATTTATAGAGACTGTCTCTTGGGAAGAGTTTTCATTGTCTGGTTAAGTAGCAGTCTCACAGAGGATGTTACATCCCTTACATTATTTTAAAAATCTCTGTCTTTTTCTTCAGTACTGATGGAGTTTGTTTGGTTTAAATGTCAGGAAGTGTGAGTCTTTCTGACCATTCTTCATTTAGAGCTTGAACCTCCTGTGTGTGACTATTCTCAAAACATTAGGTGGCTTTTCACTGCTTGAGGGTGGTGTTTTCAAAAGGGGCTGAGTATTGCATCGAAGTATTGGATTTTGGACCTATGGCCAGAAATGGTAATTCTGGATTCATAGAAAATACATCAGTAAAGACCCCTGAGTTATCTAGTCTACCTGTTCCCAGAAGGATCAGTTCCACCTAAATCAGTACTGACCAAGGATTCTTTTACAAAAGCATCAGTGATGGAAAGTCCAGAACAGAAAAGAAGAAACTAAATGCAAATTTAGCAGATTAAACCACTTACATCATTCAGCATCAACAAAGGTTATGTATGGAGAGCTTCAACAAATTTTATAATCTGGACCACACAAGGATAGTTCTCAAATTGTCCAAATCCAATAGGTTTCTGTCTGGAGGATTCCTCTAAAGTCACTTGCAGGTTAATCAGTCTCCCCGTGTTTGAATATGTACACAAACAGAAGTGAGAGTTTTGCCACAGTGCTACTCCAGTGATCCAAAATGAAGAGGGAAATTCCATCTTGTATGCCAAGTATTTCTCTGTGTGTGTTAGCTGGGAGAAAGGTAATGTTATGGTAAAAGAGGTTTCTGAAAGAACATGTCATTTATCTTTTTTCTGTGGGCTCTCTTCCCCAAAGGACACCACTGCTGAGCGGTTGTGCAGAATGCACATTGTTCCTGGTCTGCACTTAATAGAAGACATGATTAAAACCAAGACAATGTGGACCTTGTCAGGACACCAGATGACATTCACGAGCCAGGTAAAGCATCTCCTGAAGGCCTGGACCTCTGCTTTCACACAGGACAGACTGGAGCTTGAGCACTTCCCTAACCAGAAAACCTTTTCTGTGATCAACCTGCCTGTAATCAGAACAAGCTCCTTTGTGGAGTCCAAAGTGAGGGGATTTAAGACCAGACACCCCAAGCAACCACATTCCCTTTCTCACAGACAACGAATTAGACAGAATTTGACTTGTGAATGGTCTTTCCACGGTCTTTGTGTGTATTCTGGAAAAGAGACCTTTTCCCTGCACTAGCCATTAGAAGCTACAATATCCATGTGGCTGACATGGAAGAGGCAGCAAAGTCTCTTTTCAGAGTGAATGCTTCCTTGGGGTTTGTGTGCTTGGACACAACCATGTGCTGAATATTTTCTCTCTTCTAGTTTCTCTTTTCCTCTCTTTCTATTTTATTTTTCTTAGTCTTTCTATCAAAGAATTTTTCATCATCCTGTCTTGATATGAAAGGCTCTTTTTTTCCCTTTTCCAGTTGACTCATGTTTTCCAGTCTCCACAGATCTCTCTCCATCCTGCACCTTTCCTGCATGCAGGCTCACAGATGGCCAAGGGAGAGAGCCCTATTTCCTCTCTGAGGATCTAGCCTTGGCCTTAAGGTCTGGGTCATAGTACATGTGCCCTGCATGTGTTAAAAGGACAAAGCACTATTTGGAGTCAGGGAATCCAGGCTGAGCTTGTCAATGCTCCTTTTAAAATTCTTTCCTGTTGGTTTACTCAGGATTCTTTTGATCTGGGAAGTCTGCCCTCCCCTTCCTGTGTTTCAGCCAGAATCCTCAGTGATGTGAACTGAAGTTTAGGGCAGGGAGGAGCAATTCAAAGAGCTGCACATGCTGAAATGAAAAGCACAGGGAAGCTGTGCTTTCCTGAACTGGGATAGTGGCTGCAGCACCAACATTTGGATGTTTAGTTCATAGGTTACCCTTGAACCCCTTCATACACCCAGATTCAGTGCATGACTGTGTACAAAGGGGAAGGACCAGATCTCTGTCTTGTACCTCAGCGAGCCTGATGCTTTGGCTCTGTTATGAAGGCTCCTTGTCAGCATCATGATTGAATAACAGTTGTAATCAAAGCTGTAGTTCCAGGATTGCCTCCAAATTCTGTACCTTGCTGCCCAGGGGGCACCGTGCCTTTCTTGTACTACCTTCTTGTACTTGGCAGCTCTTGATGGTCACAGCACCCTTTTGTGATCCAGAGCTGGGACCAAGCATTGTTCACACTCAAGCTTAATTCTAGAACTGATTGTCCCAGATGAGATTTTTTTTTTTTTTGGTACTAAGACTTAAAAGTACCCTCAGGATCTAAACATTACCAAAACTCAAGGAGAATGGGATGTCTGTTTTACACCCAGGCCGTCCCTTAAATTTACTTTTTCAAGAGTAACTCTGGTTGTGCCTTCACCTTGCTGACCTACAGGCAGAGTGCAGTGGTTGATAGATCAGTCATGATAACACAGATACACCACAAGAAAATAACCTTCATATTTATCCAGACATACATCAAGTCATTTCGATATCAAGACCTGCCGGGGGAGCTGTACAATGTTCTGCACTCAAACCTGCCAGCAGCCAATGGCATCATGCATGTGGTTAACACTCTGAGGAAAAAAACCAGCACTGACAACCTCAGCAACCCACAGGTATTCATATTTCTTCTCTTTTATGAGACAGCAGAATAAACACTTTAAAAAAGAGCAATTTTCACCATTAACCTTCCAAATCAGTGAGGATTTTTTTTTAAAGGGAAAAGGCTTTTTTTTTAATTTCAGCTCCTGATAAGACCTGTTAGGCACTAGTAAAATACCATTAAAAGTAGCTAATAGCACTGCATAGCCAGATAAAGATCTTGCAATTATGCTTTTACAGTGCTTGGATAAGTAGAGAATTCTACTTCCATGAGTGAGATCATTCCCTTCATAGCAAATAAACTCTTTTTAAATTGTATCTTAAATAATATGTATCTTACAGGATAAACATTGAAAAACATTTTTCACATAAAAATCAAATTAAGGTTTTCTTTAATTGGTCTGTACTGCATTTTGAAATTATAATCCAGAAGTTGTCTTTGCCTCAAAAATATTTAAAATGAGGACAAATAATGATTAGACTTCTGCATTCTGAGGTCATATCTTGAGTTTAAGACACTGGGTGGGAGTTTCAGGGTCAAGTTCTGCTAAATACTTTTCCCTGTTAGCTGGGAAATGGTTTTGTCATAGCTACTGCATTGCTAAGCCTGAGCATTTTTATATTGTTTCTATATGCAGAAAGCAGGATCTCTTGCCCCCTACCTCCTTGCAAAAAACTTACAGAGAATGACAAAATCTCTTGGAATTGGTAGAGTTTTGATAATAATTTGCACTTACTTTACACCATTGTAGTTAATCTGTAAAAACAGACTGTGTAATGTTGTGGTTTTACTTTCTGTGTTCAAAAAGCAACTGGAGTGTTGAGTGGTGGTGGCTCTTCAGTTGAAGTGCCCTGAGAATGGTGTACCAATTGTTCTGGGTATTCACATGGATTTCATTGTGCCCATCTCTTTGAGGATGATGGTCTCCTGTAGCTCTTTACCTGCAAACCACAAACTGGGCATTCCAGTGTGTGCTCAGACCTCACTCAGCCCCTGCCATGTTTTTCCTCTCTGTGTCTTCTTGCAGAAAACCATTGGTGAGATCCTTGCTTCGATGGAGATCTTCAGTAGGTTTGAAACTATACTGGAGGTGAGTGAGTTTGTGTCTGGGGAGGTGTGGCATTGCTGCTGTACAAAACCTGCTGCTGCCTCGGGGGGAATTTGGAATAACATTTAAACACATCTCAGTAGTTTTCAATAGCTCTGCCTCTAGTGTGTTGCTGAGTGTTTCCTCTCCCTTCCTGATGGACCCCCCTCACTAACCCTTGCTTGATCCATGATGAAATCTCTCACTGTTTTTGCAGAATTGTGGCCTGCCTGCAATCCTGGATGGACCAGGCCCTTTTACTGTATTTGTGCCCAGCAATGATGGTGTGGATAAGTTGAGAGATGGAAGGCTCATTTATCTTTTCACAGAGGTGAGAGCTCACAGTGCTGTAAGACATCCTGAGCTGACAGTGTTGCACTGGGCTGTGCTGGAATGACTTGTGCAGTGCATCTGGTCATCGCTGAAAATTCTTCTTCCTGGAGTTAACTAAACCAAAAACTTCACAGTTTCTGTACAAACTTTGGGAGAGAAGTGGATAGTGATGGAACCTGCAGTGTTAGCCAGCTTGTTTAAATCTGGTGCTTGGCTTTTCCTCACCCTGGCTTTGGTAAGGGAAAATGAAAGAATTTACTCACCAAGTGAATTCACTGCTATAGACATTGGCAATGTCAGTCACTGGTTAAAAGAAAATTTATTTGCTTCCTCTTACTTCTGAGTGTTGAAGGGGTAACCAATCCTGATGTTGTCTTCTTTCCTTAGGGCATAAATAAGCTTCAGGAACTCGTGAGACATCACATCTACACTTCAGCAGCGGTAAGGCAGCAGCTCCCACTCCACAAAATTGGACTCCTTTAGACCAGCATATTATCAACTGTCTTGTTTGGCACAGAGGTCACATTACTGGTGACTTCAGCTGCTGCTTCTTGGACTTCCCCTGGAGGAGCAGAGATGTGATTCAGGATCTGATGAGGCAAAATGTTTACCATGGAAGTGGTTGCCAAAAGGGACAGCTGTGCTCTCCATCAAGAAACTCTCAAGTTTTCTGGAGTGGTGGTGCTCCTTGGTTGGGTGGCCTTTACAATGAAAACATTGTAAAGATTTTGCTGCAGGACACAGAAATAGTTGTCTTGGTTCTCAGAACTTCTCTTTTCTCAAATCATTAAGTTTCTCAGTAGAGAAGCTGCAGTTTACTCTTTTTTTCTGCCTTTAGGCTTATTTATTCAGTCAAAATATGTTCTCTATTATGTTTCTGGCTGCACTTTCATTGTTTATTTGATATGTCCAGGAAAATCCCCTTATTAGTCTGACCCCACTTGCAGCTGTGTTAGTAAGAGACACTGTTAAGTGAGACTTTACTTCAGCTGTTCTGGACTCTTACACAAAGAATGAAAACCAAGGCAGCTGCCACCAGCACTGCTGTGTTTCTGGTATTGCAAACAAGTCCCACAAGGTCCTGGAAGTCCCTCTGACCCATTGTTTGTTTTTAAGGTATTTCATGAAATGTAAATGTTAAGTCCCCCTGAGAAGTTTTTCAAGTGGCAGGAACCATGGAAGGATTATGTAAGGTGCGCTGAAAAGACCCTGCTTTTTCCTGGTACCATCCCCTTGTGCTTTTATTTCAGGTGACAGTAGATAAACTGATGACGATGCCACAAATTGTTACTATGGCTAACCAGATACTTACCATCAACATCAGTGCAGATGTAAGTGTGAATCAAAACCCTTCTGGGCAAACCCTCCTGTGCTAGGAGAAAGTCTGGATGTGTTCTGAACAAGTGATTTCAGCCCATCTCTGCTTCCTCCTCTGCTTAAAAAACTCGACTTAAAGGAGGTCATTGAATTAGTTTGCTTCTTATCATCCAATCTGTGACTCCACTAAGAGGCTTAACCATTTGTGTGGTTGCCCTTGATGTTGTGAGCCATCTGTTTCCCTCATTGCCTTTATGTAGTTGATGCTGCCTAACGGGCTAAAATTGTGTTTCTGCACCAGGGAAGAATTCTGATGGATGAATCAGGGATCCCCTTAAACATGCGAGACATTGTGGCATCAAATGGTATCATTCATACCTTGGATGGCATCTTCATCCCCCCCTCAATAATTCCCATTTTGCCTCACAGATGCAATGAAGAGCAACATAAAATTGTGACGGTAAGTCAGGTTGTCCCATTCTCACACTGGTGCTTGCTGTGGCCCCCACACTGACCTGGAGGGACAAAAGCAGGCTGTGTACATTGCATTTGGGAAATGTATTCCCTCTGAGGGTTACCCTGATGTGAACTTTGGCACTATCAGCACCATCAGTGGTCCTTCTGCTCACACTTGGCACTGCTTTCCTGGTAATCAGCAAATGTTCCTTGTAGGTTGTTGTTCTTTCCATACACCCATCCTACTTCCAATTCCTGAGTACATTTGCCTTTTCATAAGGCTTTCTTCACGCTGGAGTTGCTAACTCAGCTGACAATGCTTTGTTCCCACCTCTGTCAGCACTGGTGTCCTGTAGCCTGGACAGGAAGCAGACATTCAGTAGCAGGAGCTACAAATGCTGTGTGATACTATTACATGAATAGTTTCATATACCTCTTTTGAGGTACTTGGTCCCCAGTTTGGTCATAAGTTACTGAAGAAAGAAGATGAGGCTCTGAATAGGCAAGGGGTTTGGAGAGGGACAGTTAATCCCTAGGGGCCAGAGGTTTCATATAATTTCCTGATTCAGTGTATGGATGCCCAAAGTGTTTTCCAGCCTAGTGTCTAGTGGCTGACAGACTCCCAGGGTGGAGACAGGCCCCATCTTGCAGACATGTGCAAGCATCCCCTCGAGACAAAGGAGTCATTTTATTAAAGTAATAAACTTAACCCATTTCAGAGTGTGGAAACTCCCTCCTAGGAATGTTTCAGATACACATTGTGATGTTTTGGATGTATACAGTGAGGGATAGCTCTGTAACATTCTTAGCATGTAGACTGGGTTTCTTTGAGAAGATTAATGTTTTGCCTCTTCTTTTCTTAACAGGGCTCTTGTGTGGATTGTGAGGCCCTCAACACCAGTATTTGCCCACCTGGCAGCACAGAAATGGTAAATATTTGTGATTATTTTGGTAATTTCTTCTTTATATGATGACATACAGACACAATGATAGATAGTTTCTAACCCAAGCCACTTTCAAATAGAGAGCAGGAAAGGCAACTAGCAGAGAGGCTTGTTAGAGGGGACATACTCCCCACATAACCATGCTCAGTGAGCCCAGTCTGTCACCTACTCACTGCTCTGTTGCCTTTCTTATTCTGAAGTCTGTTTGCTGAATCAATGCACAGCATGGTGAGAAACTCTGGGCTCAGTGAAATTGTAGACTTGCAGCTTTTAGCACTTTTGCTCTGCCTCAGGCAGAGCTTTCCTGCTCACGTGCAGAATCTGCCAGCTCCTCCAGAGTCCTAGAACCAAGCCTGATCCCACTGGTACCACCCAGTACCACCACTGCCTATATCACAACCAGAGGGTCACAACAAGCTTTCTGCATAGCAGAGGGTGAGAAACAATTTGTACTTGGCCTGTGCTCCCTGTTGGTTCAGAGCTGAGCAGAACTAGCTTTCTTCTTTTTTTTGTGAAAGCCAGAGAGGTGTTCACCACTGTTAACTGTTGGGTGTCCTCTGAGAGATCTGACTTTCAGGAGAACTTGTTAATGCAGTCTCAGCATGAATGCCTGCAGTAGAGCTCTGCAAAGTCACTACTTGCTCATTTTCCTCCCTGACTGAGGCAGGTGAAGCCTGGGGAATCATCTGGGGCCCAGTTCTGCCCATATCTAATTCCATGACAGGTCACTGTTATTCCAAAATTATTTGCAGCCCTTTCCCCCCCTCTCTCTTATTGTCTCTGTCTCACTTCCCTCCCTCTTAGTCTCACCCTCACTTGTTTTTCCTCCCTCTCACACTCTCATTTTCTCTCTTACTCCCCCTCTGCCCCATTCTCCCTCCCTGCTGCCTTCTCCCCTCTTGTATCTCTTTCCTCCCCTCTTTCTTAAGCTTTGTTTCCTCCCCCTGCCCTTTTGTCCCTCTTGTATCCTCTCCTCCCTTCCTTCCCCACTCTCCCTACCCTCTCCCCTTACTCTTGCTCTGTCCCTTATCACAGATACTATTATTGTAACTAAAGGGCAGCACCTTGGCTCAGACTTGGGGACTGCTGGGAGCAAGAGGAGGCCACCGTGTGCCTTCACTCTTGCTGGTGCTGCCATAACTGTATCTTGTTCACCTTGGCTCCTCCTGAACTTCCTCAGCTCACAGATAAGGTGTAGCTGCTCTCTGCAGCAAAAAGAGCAAAGGGGAAGGTGACAGTGCCGATGACTTGTTTTGTTTGTACAGGAACCAACGCTCTCCCCAAAAGAATGTGTCTACATCCATGATCCAGAAGGCCTGAATGTCCTGAAGAAGGGATGCGCCAGGTACTGCAATCAAACCATCACGGTGAGTGTGATGGAAAACCACATTCCCTCTGACAGGGGCTCAGCTCTCCTCCTCCTCATTCATCAAGCAGAGCTCTGACTCCTTGAGCTGAGAGGGTTGAGTGGGATCTAAAGGAAAGTTGTCCCATGCCAAAGCTGTCCCCAGGACCATCACATGATGTAGCTACCTGCTTTTTCTTTGTCAGAGAGAACACGGGGTACCAACCTGCTGCAAATATGAGAAAGCAGCTCAGTTAAACCTGAGTGCAGTAAATAAATAAAATAAAGCCCCCCCAGTTGTGACCAGCCAAGCTGCAGGAAGCCATGGGGCAAATGGTGCAGAGTTAACTGGGGTGTCCCAGCTTTAGCATTTCTCCCAAAGGAAGCTGAGCACAGGGAAAGTGCTGTAAGCTGTGAAGTGATTGCATCCTGTTTATGGACCATTGTCAGATGGTTCAGTAAAGCCTCTCCTTGCGAATTTATGGACCTCATGTTTGCCTGCAGCTCCTGAGCTCTCAAAGTGCCAGCTGCATGGAATGATTTGGGGGTGTTTCATGAAATACTGCTGAATGTTTGTCTTTGCTTGTTCTTCCATTTATGAGTCGTGACAAGGCCAGCAATCCAGGACTGCTGCATCCTCCAAAGGAATGCAGTCCTGGGCAAGAATAAAGAGGGAGCGAGTGGGCCAGCACTGTTAAAGAATTAAAAGCTCATAGAAAACATGGACCCAATTTGTTTAAGTCAGAGAGAGAGAGCAGAAAATAGTGGTTTGTTCTGAGAACAGTCTGTGAGCAGAAAGCAGGATTTTATTGAAAAATAAGTGCAGGAGGTCCTAGACACACAGATGCCAAAGGTGACAGTCCATTTCAGTCCGTGGCAGAGACGAGGATCTCAGAAGTATGAGCACAGGATGGCTCCAGGCAGTTCTTGTCAAGTTGTGCCATACCTTACCAATTTTACTTTTGTTTCAGAAACCTGGATGTTGCAAAGGATTCTTTGGTCCAGACTGCATGCCATGCCCAGGGGGATTTTCCAGTCCATGCTATGGCCGGGGAAATGTAAGTGTGAAGGATCCTGCTGCATTGCAATGAGCAGTTCCATCAGTGTGGTTTGAGGGTGTAGCTGTAGGTAGGTACAATTCAGAGTTTGTGGTCTAGAGCTGAGCCTGCAGTGGTAGAAGCAGAAGATCCAAAGAAAATGGCACATACTCAGTGGGTTTTCTTTCTTGACCTCTAATGCGAATCAGGTCATGGCTGTTGTGGGATTTTGCATTGCTACCACCACTCTTCAAAGTCCTATTTGTTACTGCAAGTATCAAAGTGCCTTTGATGGATATCAGTGTCTTGGTTTTCCCTTTGTTCCCTGAGCTTCAATCATTTTGATTTCATCTTTGTTTTCCTTCCAGTGCAGCGATGGCATTCAGGGGAATGGCAACTGTCACTGCTTTGAGGGTTTCAAAGGAACAGCCTGTCACATCTGTGCAAACCCAAACAAGCACGGCGAGAACTGTGACGAAGGTTGGTGACTGATGGAGAAACTAGAGGAGAATGTAGGACAAGGATATAGTGCAGGTTCATGTATCCTGGATTCCCTTCTGGCAAGACCAATGTCATGAAAGAAGTGATAGAAGTGCCATCATGGCTGTCCCTTCAAACAGCAGCGGAGAAAACACATTTGATATGACAGTGGTGATGGGAGTTTTGGAAACATCAACCAAATTTAGATCTCCTGCTAGGAAACAAAAGATAGTTGACAATGAACCTGAGCTTGATAGCCTAAATTTGAGCCTGTCCTTACAGCCTATAAATAACATGGATCCAGGATCTGTTCCGTGGCCAGGTTTTGAGTTATAATGGATGTCTCTCAGCAGATGTCTCTCTGTCAAAGACAAATGGGATGATAACTGAGGTTGTGAAGGAAAGTTGAGAGTCTACACTGTGATGGATGTTGGACTATTTGTACTTACTGATCTTACTCCATGTGCTTGACAGACTGTGGTTGTGTCCATGGTGTCTGTGACAACAGGCCTGGCAGTGGTGGTGTGTGTCAGTCCTGGTCCTGTAAGGAGGGATACACCGGGAAATTCTGCGACAGGACATCCAAGAACTGTGGCCCGAGTGGGCTGTCCCAGTACTGCCACCAGAACGCTGTCTGCAGCCTCAACGACACAGCAAGGTCAGTCTGTGTGGCAGGTGCACTGAGGGGCACATTGTCACTGCACAGTGTCACTGTGCAGGCACTCACAGCTGTGGGGCTGCCAGCCCGTGGCTCTGTGTGTGTCTGTGTGCCTGTCTCACAGGATTGTTTGAGTGACTCAACCAACCTGCTAGAAACCAAGTCAGGCTCTTCCTTGCTTGAGAGGCTCATTCTGCCTTTGTGCTCTCTGCTGGCTTTCAGAGGGACTGCTCCACCTGTGTCCCTTTTGTGCTTATACTTTTAAGGTGCATCTGCATGGATGGATATGAAGGTGATGGGTTTTCCTGCCAGCCCATCGACCTGTGCAGTCAGCCAGAACGGGGAGGTTGTTCACAGAATGTAAGTGGGGTCAGACTGTGAAACGTGGAGAAGCAGCTCTTGTCAATCAGAGCAGGGATCCAGGACTCCTGGGACTGTTACAGACTTTGTGTGCTAAATTTCCCTGTCTGTAAGATCAGGTGGAATAGCAGGTGCCTGAACATGGTCATTGCAAAGATGTCAGTCATTTGAATTGGTGCCAAAATGTGATGCTCCAAGGAGAGTTTGGATGGTTTGCACCAGATATTTTGGCAGCTATAGAAATTAACTGTACAAATAATTTTTGGTTTGCATTGATATTCCCCTCAAGCTCTTCTAACATGTATTAACTTTTCTGTTGTGGTGTTCAGGCTGTAGCTTAACTGTGAGCTCCTACTCACATTTCCAGTAGCCATCAACACTACATTATTATCCATAGTAAAAAACATGATGCTTTATGATGACAATTGCTGCCAAATGGTCAAACCTCATCACAAATTAGACTCCTCAGCAGGAGGAAGATATTTGGGCATGTAGAAGGAAATAGGATGTACCACTGGGTACAAAGTAGGTCTTTCCTGAGAGAGATCTGCTCTCCATCATTAATTTAATCCCACATGTCAGGCAGATTGTGGTCCTCCTCTTTAGGAAATACTTTTTCTATAATGGAAGAGCTTTACAGGATGATAATGAATGCCCTGGGAGTTCTGAACCTATGCACAAGTGTCTCCCTCTCTTAAAACACAAAATGTTTCCAGAATCACTTTACTATGAAGTTTTCTATGACTTTTGTGGAGAAGATGCTTCCATCCCTAGTGCTGGAACCAGAGTTGGTCATTCAGAAATTCTCCACAGTGTGACGAAGGAGATTTGTTGTTGTATTTTCACTGGTCTCTCTCCCTTCTACTGAGTGTAACTCTTTCTCTCTCCCCTCTCCTGAAGGCCCTGTGCACCAGTACAGGCCCTGGCACTGCCACCTGCCAGTGCAACGTGGGCTGGACCGGGGATGGGAAGGTGTGTGTGGCCATAGACAACTGCATGCTGGAGAGCAGAGGGAACTGCCACCTCAACGCTGACTGTGTCTACATCGGCCCTGGGCAGGTATGGGCAAAGCTGGGCAGCCTGATGGTGGACTTAACATTTCCTCAGCTGCTCTGAGATGGCCTGGGGTTGCCAGAGGTGAAAACTGGGCTGGCCAGCAGCAGAGCCTGCTTGTCTGCTGCCAGAAGCTCCAGGGGCAGCTGCAGCCTCACAGTGCACTGGCATGTGAGATACATGGGTGTGTTTGGGGATCCTGCTCGACTCTGAGATTTCATGCAGCAAAGGGAAGAGACCAAGCTTCATAATCCAGCTTGGTCTAAGGCATCAGTTGCTGCGTCCCCTGTTCCCAGACCACAGCACTGATAAGCATGTGCAGCTGTTCAGATAGTCCGTGGAGGGAACTGGTCCAGGAGGAAGGCACACAGGAGAGGTGGCTTCCCAGGGTGCTGCTTCTCAAGGTGCTTCTTCCCACTGAACAAGGAGAGTGTTGGACAATGTGCTGAAAATAGGTACCAAGTCTTTAGCAGATTTTAGTGAGGTGAGATGTGAAAGCAGCAGGCTTTGAAATTAACTCCTTTCCTCTTTCTGCCATTCACAAAGTCTGTGTCATTGCCTGAAAAATCAGAAATAAAGGTGGAAACCATTGTCTTCAAGAGACCCCCATGGCAAACAGTGCAAGGGATCAATGCACTTGAGTAACCAGGCAGCGTGTATGCTGTGAGAGAGGATGATGCTCTGCTAAGGAAATATCTCCACATTTCCAGGTCTTGAGGGACCAGGAGGAAAACTTGGGAAAATAAATTAAGTTTTGCTGCCCTAGACCCGTTTTGGGTAGCAAGTGAGGACACTGATATTGTCTCTTTCTTGCAGAGCAAGTGTGTCTGCAAGAGGGGTTATGCTGGGGATGGCCACAGCTGTGATGCAATCAACCCCTGCCTCATGGACAACGGTGGCTGCCATGACTTGGTGAGTAGCCAAAGAGCTGTCTCAGGGCTGGCACGGCAGTGGGAGTTCATCTGCTCCCTGACAGAGGATTTGCAGCCATGGCATTGAGAGAATTGCAAGGTTTTATGTTATGTCACCTTACTGTCATGCCACCAAGATGCTGTGAAGGTGGATCCTCTGATTTTTGTGAGTTCACACAACCAAAGATATCACCTAGGCTTAGCAGCATGAGGTGCACATTCAGGGCCACCATACAGACAACAGGAGGAAGGTGCCTGTGTGTGCTGCTCTAGCCCAGGCTGTGGAAGGCCAGAATTCAGTTCTGAGATCAGAGTAACACTGCATCACCTGTGTTTGCTCTCTAATTTCCCCTTTCACTGTATTCCCAGGCTACATGTGTGCCCCTTGGTGGAGGAGAGAGATCCTGTGTTTGCTCTGAAGGCTACATGGGGGATGGCATGACGTGCTACGGGGACATTCTAAAAGTGAGTGACAAGCAAACATCTGAGATCCTTTTGAGGCTGGAGAGAACTGGCTCTGCTCTCACTTTACTTTTTGCTGTTACCTGAGTTGACTCCTTCTCCCAGCACCAGCCTGACAGCACAAGTGTATTCCAAGGCCACGGGGACAGAACTGATGCCAAGGCCAATTTTTGCCAGTGAAATAATTGGCAATAATTTCTAAGCTGCTTCACCACTGTGCAGGGTGCACCTGTCCTGTGCAATAAGTCATCTTTTCTTTGTTGTTTAGAAGGTTTTTCAAGTCAGAGCTTGCCAGGCCCATTTTCTGTCATCAGAAATATCAAAGGCCACTGTGGATTTAATCCTTGTTCCTGGTAAACATGAGCAATTGCAGATGAATTGAAAAGAGTTTATTTGGGAATATAGATTTAATGGCTGAAATCTGCATTTAGGAGTGCCCATCTCTCCTCACAATACGCAGTGCCTGTGCTGGTTGTGAAGTGAGAGGAATGTCTAAATCATTATTGCCAGATTTGGTATCACAAAGGGTTCCTTTCCCCCAGCCTTGCACCCTGTGCTCAGCAGGGGTAACTCTTCTGTTGTTTCTCTTTGGAAGGAGCTGGCCAGGAATTCCCACTTTGCGGGTTTCTACAGCTGGGTTAAGGTAAGAGCAGCCAAGGGATGCCCACACAGGTAAGGTCTTAGAGGACCAGCAACTCCATTTATCTTTTTCAGTAGAGAAAAACAAAAAAGCAGTGAAGGAGAAATTGTTATAGAGCAGACATGTAGGAAAGCTGTGGAGTTTGTGGTACAATGAGGGTCATAAGTGTGTTTGGGGGGCCTTGTTTCTAGCACGGAAGGGAGCTGGGCTGTGTTACACTGAATTTTCATGGTTGTACCATCTGTAACTCCTGACCATCAAAAAACAGCTCAGAAGGAAAGAAGAAAGGGTAGCATGGTAATGCTGTTTTTCAGAAGAACATCCTTTGAGAAGTTAGACTGTATGTTCGCACCTTTTCTTGTTACTGCTTCCCTGTCTCTGGTGTGGGAATGGCAGAGACACTCCACAGACTGCAGCAAGTCTCTGGAAATGCACTATGATGGATGGCCTTTAACTGAGCTTTAGCTCACCTGTCCTGCACCATACACTGCTTTTGCCAGCAATAATCTTGGTCCCTCCCCTAAGAGTGATGTTGAGGGTTCAGAAGGGGTTTATGGCTATGACTGAATGGGTTTAAAAGGTAACTGCAGCACAAAAGTAAGGCTTAAAGCAGCGGGTTTTCCTTTGGCAATCATGCCTGGGAGAGCCAGGAGAGCCTGCTGTGCTGCTGAACACATGCTACCTTCCTACACATCCCTTTCATACGACTGTGAGAGTGGGATGGCTGTTGGTTGTGTTTTGCACTATAGATGTAGCAGTGGCGTGTCTTATTTGTTCATTTTTGTGCTTTGGACAACAGAAATCTCTCTTCAGCATCCCAGCAGGAACCAATGTCACTGTCCTGGTGCCATCAGAGGCAGCTATCAAGAACTTGAGTGACACTGAGAAAGATTTCTGGTTGACCCCCTACATGCTACCATTTTTAGTCAGGTATGAGGAGCCTCCTGCTTTTCGTTTACTCTGCCAAACAACAGTAACAGAGCCATGAACTGGATTTCTGCTTGCACATGACCAATAAGGAGTTATCTTGAAATAAATATAGAAGGAAATTTAAATATCTAGCAGGCAAAGCACTTAGTAGGCATTTAAAACATAACAGACCACAAACCATTGGAAATGGGAGTTTTTTCATGTATTTCACGTATTTTCAGAGAGAGATTTCTGTGTATTTTCAGAGAGAGATTTTTGACACAGATGGCATCAGAACAAGTAATTCCCTCCATTGTTCTCTCCACATGCTTAATTACTTTATGTGAGAGATGTGAATGTTGGGTGGTACAGTCTTATCTCCCTGTTGTTACCAACAGTTCCTTAATCTTTTCTTTACCTGCCTTTGTTCCCTCCAGGGCCCACTTTCTGGAAGGTGTCTTCACTGCTGAAAAGCTCAAAAAGTACAACGGGCCAGAATTACCCACTCTCAACCCACAGACCAGATGGCAGATAAACACCACGAGCAGTGTAAGGGTTTCTTACATAAGGCTCGTGCACCCATCTCAAATTTGACTGTTTAAGAGCTGCTGCATCCAGTGGGGAGCCTGGGTGGGGCAGCGATGCCCTCAAACACAAACGTCTTTCAAAAACTGTATCCACACTAACCATGTGCAACCTTGAAAGAAAATATATCTGGTTTGCACTTACTTGGTAATTTCTAACCTTTTTGCTTCTCCCTCTGGTACTTTTGCAGGTATTAACCATCCAGAATGCAAGTATAGTTGTCAGTGACATCCCTGCCAGCAACGGCATTATCCATGTCCTCAGTAAGGTACGACACTGGGAAACACTGCAGCTGTAGCAGCAGGTTTGTGTTGCAGCCTCTGTAGTGGGGCCAAGGAGGAATACATGTCTGGACAGTTAGGAAGAGATATAAAGGCAAAAATATATCAAGTTATCACAAGTCCTGACAGATGTTTCCTGTGCAGCACTGTTTAATGTTTAAAACATTTGTCTCCAGGACAAACAGGAGGGGAGTTCCCTTCTCTTGGCTGACAGAAGAAGTGTCCAGGCTATTGCAGAATTGTGTAAAATGAGGCCTTTTCTAATTGCCTTTCTTGCAAGCAGGGCAGGAGTCTGATGTGACTCCCCACAGGGTCCCTTGCCCAGCCCTGGTTATGAACCTACTTTTCCCCCAGGTTTTGTTACCGCCTTCAGGAGATGTCCCACCGAGTCCTCCTGGGCTGCAGGAACAGCTCGAGTCAGTGGCCTCATTCAGCACATTCAAGGACTTGCTAGAGGTAAGCAGCTGAGGTGAGCACTGCTGTCACTGTCAGAACTGTCTTTTGAGCAAAGTCCCACCTTACCCTCTACTGGTGGACCAAAATTTGGACTGCCTGGTGAGGAAAGGGAGATCACCTGTTTCCCACCATTCATCAGGAATCTTCTAGGAAAGCTCTTTTGAGCAGCCAAAGAGTTATGTAATTACAGTTAGATCTCTAGATCACTGGCATGTATTACAGTGGAAGATGACCTGCCTACTGCAGGTGCTCTCATGCCTGACAGGGCAGAGAAGCCTGGAGGGAAGGGAAGGCTTGTTCATAGCTGAGAAGGTACGCTTAAGTCAGCCAGGACGAGGAGCAAGCAATCAGATGTGTGTGACTGAGCAGAAGTTCTATATTCCACTTTCAAGCATTTCCTCTTGCCTTTGTAATTGGTTTCGTGTGTGGTTTGGTTTTTAGTGAGTATAAGAATAATAACTAATGTTACTGTTTGGACATTTTTTAGCAATACCAGCTCACTGGGAAGATCGAGTCCTCTGAAAAATACACCATTTTTGTTCCTGGAAATAATTCCATTGAGGAGTACTGCCACGCTGCCAATGTGACCCAGTTGGTAAGCTCACTGCCTGCTTGCAGCCTGAATATGTACACACTGTTTCACCATGGAGAGGAGACACACATCTGATGCTAAAAGCTGGGAGAAATGTGACACGGAAATGAGAGCATCTCCTGAGGTGTTGCAATGGGATCTGAAAAGAATATCAAGGCTCAAATGCTGATTAGATTAGTATGTGGATAAGTGACACAATATATTCCTTTTCCTGACTGGCTGTGGCACATCTGTGACAATTTTCAGACTTCTGGAAGGTCTGAAAACATTTAGGGCTTCATCAAGTAAGAGAATTATTGTGTGACTAGTCACCTGTGATAGAGAGTTACTAGGTTCTGTGGGCTTAATTAGCTGTTACAGATGCTTAGGAACATTTCTTATGCCATACCTCTGACTGAATTGCAGGGAGGAAGTCAAGATAGTCCTAATATTTGTATTTTTGTGGATTTAGGACAATGCAACAGTGCAGTACCACATTGTACTGGGAGAAAAGCTCTTGCCCACAGACCTGAGAAGTGGAGTTCATAAGAACAGCATGTTGGGGCTCTCCTACTGGCTAATGTTTTACCAGAACAGCACCCAGGTAAGGGAGGCAGACTGTTCTGCCACTTGAGGATCTGGCTTGACCTATCACTTCGTAAGGCTGGGGCTGGATACACCCGTTTCTGTTTTCCACACCCTTGCAAGTTCACTGCTGTGACTGTCTGACAGCTGCCAGGCAATCCATGCAAAAGGAGTTTTCTTCTTGCTGTTTTCTTCTGCTTTGCAGAAGTTTGTCAATAATATTCCTTTGGATGGAAAATTCCTCGAGACCAAGAATGGAATGCTGGTCGGGGTGTCGCAGGTGCTCCAGATACAGAAGAATCGTTGCACTGCCAACACCACCACCATACAAAAGGTAATGGTGGTGACCAAGGAGATGATCACCATTTCTCAGGGTTTCTCCATCTGCTGAACCAAACTGATGGATAACAGACAACTTGCCTTGTCTCTCCTCATGGATGAGACAGTAGCTTGTGGTCTGACCCCAGATGAACCTCATGTGAAATGGGACATCCTGGAGACTTGGCACATCCTAGACTCAGATTCTGGACTTCTAATGCAACAGATCTGCAGCTCTTGTGCAGATCACATTCAGTTCCCTTGCTGGGGCTCTCTCAGTGTTCCAGCCTTGGTGCAGGCTGATGCAGGGACTCCCAGATACTCAGCTGTGGAAGGAGAATCCAGTCCAATTCTTGTATGCCATGGCCACAAGCTGCCCTAGAAAATGCTGTCTGGGCTGCCAAGGAGTCATGGCCAAAGTCCAGCTTGCATGAACCTTGCAGCTCTGAAGATTTCAGGGTCAGACTGAGGTAGGTCTGCCTGCTACAGATCAGAAAAAAAGTATTTGCAACCTTGCATGAAGGAACTCCAGGTCTTGAGAAAGCCCTACCCAGCTCAGAGGTTCAGGAAAGGTGTAGCACTTGATCTCTTCTTTTGGTGTTCTGAGCCATGGAGTTAAATACATCTTTGTCTTTGTCCCAGCCAGCAGCCAGTACAGCACCATTTGTGCTGTAATTCAGGGTTAGTGTCTTGGTGTGATGTGGGTAGAGGGCACACATGTGACTTGTCCTGTTCTCTGTGCCCTAGTCAAGATGCGGCAAGTGTGAGAAGGGGATCAAGTGTCCTCCTGGATCAGTTCTTGTGGTGAGTCTTTGATTCATGTGACAGTTCACAGACTATTTGCAGATAGTGCTTTGATGTCCTTTTATTGCTCTATGGATGATATCTTGATACCTGATAAAATGTGCCCTTGAGTCCTCCGTGGCTCATCCATTACCAAGGTTTGTAAGAGAAAGCAGAAATCAAGGGAAGGTTACAGAGGAAAAACATGGGCATGGATCATGAGGCTCTGTACAAAGCTTTTTTAGGACAAAGAATTTTAGGAGCCCTTTAGTTTCCCCACTTAGCAGAGAAGAAAAGATGTCTTTTTTTTTTTTTCATCTTTCACTCTTTCCACATCAAGGAAAGCCAGTTTAGAGGTGCCAGCAGCAATTTCCCTGCCTGGACCGTTGGTTTGTTCTCACAGATGGGCTGGTTGTGCCTGTAACTTGTTTGTGAGTGACAAACATTTCCAGAGAGGAAAATAACTAAGCATCTCATCTCCATGCTGACTGTGAATTGCATAACAGCTACATCTGGCTTCTTAGGCTTCATTGCTTTACTCTATGCCCAGAATTTTCCAAATCTTTCTTCTCATTATTCAGACTGACATGTGCAGCAAGGATTTGGCAGGTGACAGAATTGACTCTGTGTGGTGACCTCACATCCAGAGATGCCTCATTGGTCTCTGCTCTGGATAGTCCAAATGTTTAGGGCTGTTCCTGTAGGACACAAAACAAGATATGAACTAAAAACTACATTGTTTGCCTAAATATTGTAATATCTTTTCTCTGTGTCTGTATTAATTATATCCTCAGGAACTGCCAGGGAGCAAGAATCTCGCTCGCTGCGAGCTGCGCTCCGGGGATGCAGGGATACTTGGCTGCCATTTCACCTGTGCAAAAGTTTCTCTGGTGAGAAGAACATTTGCCTCTGATTCATTTTGACAAAAGTGAGATGGGTATCAGCAGTACAGCTATGGAAGTACAGGCTGTGCTGAAGTCCTGGCTGTGTCCGTACCATGGCATAGCTGAGGCTGGGCCTGTCTGGGATCTGCTCTCCATCCTGGAGATGGAGGGCACTGGAGCAAAAACAGACCTGCAGGAATGTCTGCACAGTGATGGATTGTGATCTGCTGCTTTGGTATTGTTGCCCTGGGTTTTGTCCTGCAGAGGAAGAGAAGGAGTTGAATGTTTGTAGTCTGGTTTCCTGAGGAAGTGAGGCATGAATGATGGTATTTTCCTTATGCATGTGCCTTCCCGAATAACTGATGACTAATTGGAGCCAAATCAAAGGGAGGAGCAGAAGGTCTTGCACCTTATGTTAAATGACGGCCCCTACCAGTTTTGTGAAAGTGTGTGTCTGGGATAAAACACTTGAAAAGGAAATGGCAAAAGAAAAACTTGCATGAATTTGAGGTCTTATAGGTATAGCAGCATCTCTTGGGAAAGTTTAGTGGGAATGGGAGGTTGAAGAGAAGGAAGAGAGGGAATTGGACATACAGAGAGAACTTCAGTCGGCACTTATACCTCACTGGGCACTTCTGCATCCCTTCATTAGATGATGTTTCTTTTCATCTATACTTGGTTCCATCATGGTTTCTTCCCTCCGTGGGTAGATGCAGAAAGAAGAGAGAGCAGTTAATTTAGGCTTTGGAATCAAATCAGCCTCTCTCTGCCCAACAGAGAGACACAGGCAGGAAATAGGCTGGAGGGGCACAGAACTAAACATCTGAGTTACTCACCAAAGGGCCAGTGTTGCTCAAGGGCCATGCAGACCTTTACATGAAGCTCTGGGCCACAGAACACCCTGGTTTAGGGTGTTCACTCCATCCTACCTGTGCACACACCTGGCTCTTTCATGTGTTGTCAGAACTATGGCTATTGCATAGTTAAAGCAATAGAGCAGCTTCCCCAGTGAAGCTGCACCTCATCTGTGCCGCACAGGGGGGCTCATCCCAGCTTGTTCTTGTTGGTTTTCCAGAGGTCCGTCTGCTGCCCCGGCTACTACGGACACATGTGTGAGATGTGCCCAGGGAAGCCAGGCCAGTGGTGCTCTGGGAACGGGGAATGCCAGGATGGCATGGAGGGCAGCGGAGAGTGCCGGTGCCTGGAGGGTTTCCACGGCACTGCCTGTGAAATGTGTGAAGTGGGACGATATGGAGCTGACTGCAAATCAGGTGACACCAATGGCTACTGCAGCTTGTCTCAAATGTCCTGCTTGCAAAGGGGGAAAAGTGGCCACATCTCAGCTCTTGGGAGGGGTGGTGGGAAGGGAGAAATATCCCAAAGCTTCTGAGACAGGCAAATGGCTGGCAGGCCACAAGAGTGGGACAATGTGAGTGAGTGAGGGAGTAAGGGAGTGAGGGAGGGAGTGAGTGAGTGAGTGAGTGAGTGAGTGAGCGAGCGAGCACTTGTGGTCAGCCAGAGGAGTGGCCCCACTTTTCATCCTCAAGCCAAAGCATGTGCTGTGCTGTGCTGCTCATCCTGTTGCCACCCAAAACCAAGATGTTTTTCTACAGAAAGTAGAGGCAAGTGGTCTATTCCTGGGCTTTTTGGCCTGGCAGTGAGGGAACAGGAGCTGATACTCCTGTGACATTTTCTTTATGGCACTTTGGTGAGTTGTATTAGGAACAGAGCAGCCAGCAAAATGGCAGCAGGTCTCTCTGCTTGTGAGAGCTGGTTGGTTTGACAGTGATGAGTGTTTGTATTCCCCCTGCAGAATGTGCCTGTGACAACGGGATATGTAACGATGGACTGCAAGGGGACGGGAGCTGTGACTGCTTCCCAGGGTGGAAGGGCCCCACCTGCCAAGAGAGTACGTGAGTGTGAAGGGGCCTGTGGTGTAACACTGTCTTTTTAGCACAAAAATCTGTGTGATCCTCTTTAGTTGCCAGAGGAATTCTGTGTTAGCTGAGCAAGGTGACCACAGTCTCATTTTCATCCTCCTGAAAGCTTTTCAGACTGTGCTCGCTCATTCCCAGACAGAAGCTGCATTTGTGGTTTAACTTCCCCAACAGCACATGAACCCTTGAGATCTTTGGATGAAACTCATATTGAGAAAAGCCCATCCCCTGCTTCCTTCTCCACTGAGACTGGGGCACCACAATAACAGCCCTGTGAGAGAGAGAGATGGAAGCTTTCAGCCAGATTGGGTTGACCATGACTCCTGTTACTTGCCTAAAAGGGTGGCAGGACTTCACTTGAATTTTAAAAGGGCCACAGTGTGTCTGCAGAGCTGCTTTTTCTGCTCACAGATCTATTCATTTAGGTGAACTCAGGCTGTATCCTGCCATTATCAGTAAATCTGTCATTGTGTGTCAAAATAACACATTGAAGGTGGACTTGGGATTTTGTTTAGCATTTGGGTGGAGAGAAACCTGAACTTCTGAATACTTTGGCATTTTAAAGGTTTGCATGCAAAGACTTATTTTATAGTGAAGTCAAACACTTTGGGGGTATTTAGAAATAGAAACTGAGTGGAGATGTCCTATCTAGTGTAAATGTAAAGCATGAAAACAGTTCATCTTTTGCTTTAAAAGGACCAAAGCCAAATGGCTCTGTATGTCTGGATTAATGAGGCTTCAGTCCTTGTTTCATTCCTAGCAGTGTGGAGGCCTTTTGCAGGGCCCATTTCTCTATCTGGCAGAAATGGCCCCAACAAGTGCTAAACTGAAAATGCCAAGTCACGTTTGTGTCTTCTCTTGCAGGAATCAAGACTGACCTATGCAATAACACCTGCCATCAAATGGCCAAGTAAGTGCAGACAAGGGGCTGAGTCATCCATGTGTGTTTGTGAGTGTTTTACTCAGAGGTGTTTCTGTGTTTAGGCCTTTGCAGAGGTGTGAGAGAAGGTGCCTACTCATTTAAAATGGAACTAAAAGTTAGTTCCATTCTGAGAACTCTCTTTGGTGCTGAGCCACATCTGTTTTCCCCAAGGATTTTGTCTGTCTGAGCATAAATTCATTCCAAGTCCCTTCTGCATGTGTGGATGGCCTGGATGCCAGGTCCTGGCCAGCATGACTTGAGTGTTTGGAGCTGTAAAGAAATCCACAGCATGTTCCTCCTATGGTCATTGTGGGCTCTGCACATGCCAGACTTGTACTTGTTGTCCCACTGGCTGAGCAAATCAGGAGGTGCCGTCAGTGATTGTTTATCCCTTTCTTGTTTCAGCTGCCTCAATAGTTCCACAGATTCCCTACCTATGTGCTTCTGCTCTGCTGGATACACAGGGAATGGGACCCATTGCACAGGTACATCCACCGAAGACACGGTGAAATAAATTCTGTGATGTTGCCAGAACAAAGATCACTCAAATCCTTTTCCTCTCAGTCATCCATCATGAGCTCTGCTGTGCTTTGGTAGAGAAGTTTTCCAGTCCAGAGCTTTACACAGGATGCTCTTGATGTTGCTAAAGCCTGTGAGAGAAAGATAAAAAGGCAGGAAAGTATAGGAGGGCAGTTTCTATTGCCTGTGGAGAGAGATGCACATGAATGGGTTGTATTTGTCCTGATATTACAGCAATGGTGGCAAAGATATAACAGTTTTGGCCATGAATCCCTGGAATATGGATGTTTCAACTCCCTAGAACTTTGTGATTCTTCTATTTGCTGACCATGCCAAAACCAGATAGAAGCAGTGCAGCAGTTGTGCCAAAATGAGGTAGAAATTTGGGATACCACTCCAGAGCTACATTACAAACCTGGTCTATGTCAAAAGCAAACAAACCAGGAAAAAACAAGTGATAAAATTGCAGCAGTCAGAACACTGGTAGACATTTCAGTATCTTTTCAGTATTGTCCTTGTTGAAATGTGAGTGAGAAGGGGAAAAAAAAGAAAAAAACCCCACACATTTACATTGTTCAGGAAAATATTTTTTTCTCATCTAACCATTAGTCCTCAGTGAGCAAATGCTGTGAGGGAAAGACTTATTAGTCCAGTTTGGAGGTTATTTAAGCTCATCTTACTTACTTGAACTGGCCACTCTTAGGTCTGGATGAGGCTCCAGGCCCTTAAAGGACCAACATTTTCATCAAGAAACAAAGGGATTTTAACAAGATGCGATTTTTGTTAAGGTGGATGATCATTCTGGCACAGTTGATCGTTCCCAGGTGCTCTGAGCTGATTCTGCTTCTCTTGTTTGTGGTCCCAGAAATAGATCCCTGCACTATGGACCACGGTGGCTGCTCCGTGCACGCTGTGTGCACCAAAGTGTCCCCAGGAGAGAGGACCTGTGTCTGTAAGGATGGCTACGCTGGGGACGGGACACTCTGCCTGGGTGAGTGCTCAGTGCCTGCTCTGGGGATAGCAGAGAGGCATCACTCCTGCTTAGGGGGATTCCAGCCTGAAAGCCTTAGTGTTTTGGTGTCAAACCAGAAGAGCCCTGACAGGTTTCTCACTCTGAAAATGTCATGGAGAGGCCCAGAGACAGAAGGTGAGGGCAAGCTCACACAACGGTGCTCTGAGATGAAGGTGGAGCTGGAGGAGAGTCCAGCCCTCTCATATCCTTCAGTGTACACCCAGACAGGCATGGAATTATCTGTGGGCACATTTACCACAGTTCAGAGACCCCACATGTGGCAGGAGTAGAACCTGTAGTTGCTTCCTATTCCTTTGCCACCACAAGACAGTTTCCCAGGAAGGTGTTTCCCAAGGTGGAAAGGTTCTCCCTGTTGCTTTCCCAATACCTCTTTGGACCACTAATTCCCAGCTGCCTTGCGCAATAATTTATATAATTTATTATTAATATAATTTATTGTTTTGCTGCAGAAATTGATCTCTGTCTTGAAAGCAATGGGGGCTGCCACACCAACGCTGAGTGCATCAAAACAGGCCCAAAGAAGGTGAGTATGTAGGATGGATGTCAGGATAACATTATTATGGAGATTGCCACAGCTCTGTAATTCTCTTAGAGACAGTCCTGCCCCTTGCAGTACCCTGCTTTGTGCCTGCTACCTTCCACACAGAGAAGTTGCCTGGGAAGAGCATGAAAAGATGGCTGTTTCCATGAAAGCAGATGGCTTTGCTGGCCAGAGGCTGGAGGCAGTCTCGGGTTATTTGTTGTGGGCACAAGTGTGGTTATTCATGAATGCAGCAATGGGTGTAACACCACATGCCTTCCATTCAGTGCAGCCCTTGTGTGCTTTGTTTACTGTGTCCAAGTTTCAGACTGAGGATCTGTTCTCCCTCCAGGTTGCCTGCAACTGTCTTCCTGGTTACAGTGGGGATGGTGTGAGCCAGTGCAACCCCATCAACCTGTGTGAACAGGTATGTCTGCATTTTGCTGCTGCCAGAAGCGAAGGCCACAGCCTTGAGGTGTTCCTTTCTCCCAGCAAGAGCAGCATTAGCCTGTTTGTTTGGAGCTACCTGTCTTGCCTTTCCACATACTGGAGGGACTTCCTTGTGTATCTGGTTTCCATTGCCTCTCACAATGACCTTTGAGTGTGTTGGTCACCTGGCACTCCCTCAGTGTGGAAACAGTGACACAGGATTGGAGGCAGGTGGGCTTTTTCCTCTCTGCCTGTTTTGTGTGGGCTGTGCCCAAAAGCTTCAGAGTAACCTGTGCTCACAGCATCACTGCCATTTCTCAATGTCCCTCTGAATCATGGGGTTTGTCATCACCCTGGGTTCCAAACTGAGGTGAGAAAGTCTTGTTTCATGGGAGGGTTTGGTCTGGAAAACCCTCAGGGATTTGGGTGAGGTTTATTCTAAGGCACTAAAGAGGGGGGAGGAAGAATAGTTTGCAGATCCCACATGGGAGCTCCCACAGGCCATTCAGATTGTTGGAGATGCCCCTCCATGGAGGCCTTTTGCTTTCCCTGGCAGAACAATGGAGGCTGCAGCCCCTTTGGGCTCTGCAAGTACACGGGGCCAGGCACTCGGAACTGCTCCTGCTCCTGGCACAGCGTTGGAGATGGCTTCACCTGCCGTGGCAAAGTGCATCAGGTGAGAGGCATGTGCAACACCTCCTGTGTCTGTGTCCCCTGCCCTGCAGCAAACCACTCCCTCCCATCCCAAGTGTAAGGTGCAGGTGAGCTGATCTCAGTGTCATAGCAATGTGGTGTAGGAGTGGAAACAGATGCTTTGAGACAAACTCACCACAAATCATAGGTGTGTTTGGTGTGCCAGCTGTGGGAGAGAATCACAGTAAAATGACTTTGTTCCAAAGGGAGCAATGCTGGGAACATCCTGCTGCTCTGTCAGCAACATTGGCCATACCTCCAGAGGCTGTTTTCTTCATGTTTTAGGCAAATGGGAGTGATTTGGTTTTTTCCCAAGGCAATTTACTTCTGCCCAGTGGGATGAGGGCAAGTGTCCCCTGTGGCCATGCCAGGGCGTGGGATCCAGTCTGGAGGGCAGCAGTCTGTGTCCAGTTCTGTTGCCAATACAATGACTGTACTTGGGAAAGCAGGTGACCTTTCCAGCTAGTGGCAAATAAAATCTGTCATCCCGACAGCAGAGCCAGAAGAAAGGAGATGGACTGTTGTGTGCTTCTACTCTTACTGAAAGTTAGTGTGGTAAGGAGAGGGAGTTTGCCTTGCCAAGGTGTGTCTGCCCTCTGGGCAGCACCCCAGCACTGGTAGTGGCAGCACAGTGAGGTTAAAGCAGAGGTTTTGTGAAGCACTCAAGGTGTCCCATGAGCAAGGGACAGTTACCTGTGAGACAGCTGCTGCAAAATCAGCCAGCTTTCCACTCTGTCCATGCCATCCTGCAGCACTTGTGATGTGAATGGTGCAGGCAGAGGTCACTGTAACATCCATGTCATTTGTCCCTACAGTGCTGGTGAGGGAGGGAGGGAAGATCACTATGGTGTGTCAGGAGAACTGGTGCCTCTTAAGAGTGGGAGAGTGACCTAGGGCAGAAGGAACAGGTCACTGTGCTGGCTGGTGAGGAGCACAGTGCTAACACCAGCTGATTCTCTTTGTTCAAGGAGCTTGGAAGAATTCCAGACTCGTCCATGTTCTTTAGGATGATACAGGTTGGTAACAGCCTTGTCCCTGTCTCTGTGCAGTAAATCCCACTTTTCTGCAAAGAGTCTTGCTAACTGGAACCCTGTTTTCTGTTTGCCTTCCCACAAATGCTCTTCTAACACAGGCAGAAAACATCAAAGAACTCAGTGGGGCAGGGCCTTTCACTGTCTTCGTCCCACAGACAGATTTCATAGGAAACACTACAACAGTAAGTGTCCTCCCATCCCAAGCTCTGTCAGGTGTTTCACAGCTCCAGTTGTGGCAGTGTCCCCTCTGGGACTGCTCTGCCCAGTGAATTGAAGCAAAGGGGGTTAAAATTGAACCATGGAGAGTTAAAGGCATCCCCTGTTCTCCATCAGTGTAAGAGCAGAAGTTTGGAGGCATCTCACCAAGGAGAGCCTGGGCAAGGGTGGACATGGCTCCTGTTGTAAGGAGACCCTCACTGGAGGCCCTTCTCATGGGACTCAGAGGCACTGTGAGAACAGGGTCACATCACTAGTCCCAACCTTTTTCTCATGGGCTCCCATATGCCCAATAAAGGAACAATTCCCAAAGATCACATATCCCAGATGTCACTTCCTCAAGGAAAATGTGGTCATTTGTCCTTCCTCAAAGGACCTAAATGCTGCGTTTGTCAACCTGGTTGAAATTTCCCAAAGCTCTCAAATTGTTTTGTGCATTCCCTGTGTTTTGGAGGGACTGGCTTTCCTGCAGGTATGAGTCAAAGGGGCCTTGGGCAATCCAGGTCTGCCTCACTGGGAGCGGGGATCCTGCATGCAAGGCAAAGTGCCCCAATGTGACCTCTCTTTTCTGCCTGTAGTTTGAGGAGTGGAAGAGCAGACATCTCCTCCGGGACCTGCTTCGCTACCACATGGTGGGTTGCCAGAAATTGCTCCTCAGTGACCTGGAAGCCCAGGAGTCCCTCACATCTTTATCTGGTCACAAAATAAAAATCACAGTGAACGAGGTAATTCCCTTCCCTGTCCCACCTGTCAGGATGTCCCTTCTGCTGTCATTTGAAGCCACTGTGGTTGTGGCAAGTGGCTTGCCCAGGGCCCACAGATGGCTCAGAGGGCGGTTCCATGGCTGTGAATGCCCCATCATGTCCCCTCTCCCCCAGAATAGCATCTTTCTCAACGGGGAAGCCAAGGTGGTCATGAGTGACATCATCGGCGTGAACGGGGTCATCCATTTCATCGACAAGATCCTCATTCCAAGTGACCTGGTGGACCGTAACATCTCCTCCAAGCTCTCATTGGTGAGGCTGAAGGCAGGGCTGTGGTGAGGGCAGGGCCAGGATCTCTCTCCCAGTGGCGCTGCCTCAGCACAAGGCTGCGTCAGCTGCTCTTCCTCCCTCTTCCTGACTGTGGAGGGGTTGTCTGAGGGCATGGATTTGGCTTGTGAAGGTGACAGCACTTGTGGCATAGCCATATTTGTAACAGAAGGAGCCTTATCTATCACTAGGGAACAGCAGTATTGGATGTAGGTGGGGAGATGTGTCCCATGCCAACCATCACACTTTTTTCCAGCGCAGAGCAGATTGCAGCGTGAGATTGCCAATGCCTCTCTGGTACTCCTCAAGCAAGCACTAGGAGCTTATACATCCTGCATTTTACACAAGATAACATTTTCTGTACAGCACAACAGGGTGCTGGAATTCATCCCAGCTCCTGCCATAGCAGCGTCTGTCCAGGATGAATCAGAAAAGCAGGGGCTGCCAAATGCCATCCCTTTCCAGGCCAAATCATCAGCACGATGGTGACAGAGATAAACTTGTGTTTAGCTGCTGCAGTTGTTAACTGCCTGGTTTCTCCAGTGTGTTGCTGGTGCTGGAGGGGGAACCCTTAGAGACAGTTGCTTGCTTTCCTCCCTCTGCAGCAGAACGTCACAGAGGTGGCAGAGGCCTTTGGGTACAGCATTTACAGCAAGCTGCTGCAGGTGAGTGACCTCACACGGGCTGCTCTGTGGGGAGGTGGTTTTGTGCACGTGCACGTTCAGTTTTGGGGCTTGTGGCTTTTCCTTTGTGTCCCCTGTTACCTCGGGCAGGACGCGGAGCTGCTGCCGCTGGTCAGTGACCCCCTGCACAGGCCCTTCACGCTGCTGTGGCCCACGGACGCCGCCTTTACCGCTCTCCCCGAGGACAGGCAGAAGTACCTGTACCGCAGGGAGCACCGGGACGTGCTGGCCTCCTACCTCAAGGCACACATGATCAGGGACACCAAGGTAAATGTGATGGCACACAGGCTGCTGCTTCCTGAGGCCACACATGGTGCCACCGCCTGCCTGTGGTTACGTCAGAGTGACCTCGCCAAATTATTGCTGCTGTGGAACACGCAGCACATCAGCTGTCTAGGGAAGACCCAAAACTGTTTGAGCATTTGAGGCAACTACAGCTTCATCATGAGCCTCTGAGGGCTGAGCTGAAACCTTCTGTCATCACCTTCCTGGGGAGGCCACATCACTGCTAGAGTGTCATTGCAAGGCTCACAAACAGGCTCTTGTCTACAGGGGTGGTAAACGAGGGAAAAGTCCAGCTGAGAAAAACTAAGGCCTGCTTTCACACACTGGACTCTCCTGTTCAGGAATCTGGGATTAACCCAGCATTGTTGTGCTGTGCCACCCCACACAACTTCATGTACTGCCACGTCACACCCTCTGAGTGTGGCTGCTGACCCCTGTCCTCACCAGGCAGCATCCCATTAGTATGAACTGCCAGTTTTGCCTGTCTCTCCCTTCACATTCTTTTTATTTCCCTCAGATTTTTGCTGGTAACATGCCCCAGGTCGAAACCATACGGACCATGCACGGCTCCACCATCTCGTTCAGCTGCAGCAAAACCCACGTGGTGAGTGCTGGTAATGCTGGGCTCAGCTTCCACGGATCAGGTGTCCCTGGGCATGGCCATGGAGCCACTGGTGCTTCTGGCAGGAACTGAACACAGAGTTGGGGTGCTTGCAGGCAGCTGAGCTGTAGAGAGGCTCGAGATGTTGTGTTCAGCTCAGGGAGGTGTGGGGGTGTGTGGCACCTGCACACACATGTCACAGTGACCTGGTTGCAAAGCCACCCCCATGGTACCACAGCCTTGGCACATGTTGGACAGAGGCCATCCTTAGGAGAAGTGGCCATGGAAAGTGTTATTCAGGAAAATATTGTCCAGGACGTGAGTACAGAGATTTTGGAGAGTTCTTGGGGTGATTAAGAAATCATGGCAGTCAAAAATGGGCAACTTCTGGGTGGTGCACCAGGATGTAGGATGTGCTGGAGTCACACTTTGCTTTCTTCCTCTGTTAGGGGGAGATTCTGGTGGGGAACGGCGATGCCACCATCATCCAGAGGCACATGGAATTCAGTGGGGGCATTGCTTATGGCATTGATAGACTGTTGGAGCCACCAGATCTGGGATCTCGGTGTGATAAGTTCAGCTTCACTGAGCTACAGGTAAGCACTTGTGATGAGCTCAGTGAGGATCTGTGCCACACGTGCCTTGCCATGCCTAGGATGAGGGGTGTCAAGAGGGCCTGCTACTCTTCCTTGGCAAAGCTCTGAGCAGCCAAGAGAGGCAGCAGCACATGCTGAGTTGTTGTGAGGTTTCTTTCTCCCCTCCACAGGGATCTACAGAGAGCTGCGGACTCTGTGGCTTCGAGCCACCCTGCCCTGCTGGCTCCGTTCAACGGGTAAAGCTCACAGCTTTGTCACCAAGGAGGCCTGTGGGGGACTGATACCCACGTGCCCCTCATGTTTTAGCAGCAAAATGAAGCCCCCCGCCGCCTGTGGCAAGTCCCTCACATTGTCCATGCCCTGCCCCAAGGCACACGGTCCCATAGGGCAGGAGCTAGGCTGAGAAATATGGGGTCAGGGGCTCCAGTGGTCTTTGCTTGGTCAGCCCCTATGTGGGTGACAGTGGCACAGGGGTCCTTCCACCAGCATTGGGGTGGCTCTGGGTGCTTTAAAGCAATAGAGCTCAGCCTGGCCACCGGAGAGCAGCCTTGGGAGGCAGAGGTTGTACCCCATTCTCACTGTGGGCTTCTGGCACATCCCTAAGGTTCATCTGTGGCTCCTCTGTCATCCACCCCCTGATATGTTAGGAAGCCTCTGTCACTTGTCATAAAACTGAATGAATGGCACGAGAAAAGTCAAGGTGAGTTATCAGTGACCAATGTGGCGAACTCTGTTTTGCCTGTTCCCTCACAGGGGGAAACCAGGCGCTGCTACTATTACGGAAACCAGCTGCTGAGGAACACGTTCCTGCTTCACCGCAACTCCCTGTTGCGGCCGTCGTGGCCACCACACTCCCCGTGGGACCCCTTCAGGAGACACTTCTCTTCCAGGGGGCCTCTGAGACGAGGCTGCAGGAGGAGCTGCGTTTCCAGCCAGTGGATCCCACAGTGCTGTGCCAACCACTACGGCCGAGACTGTCGGGGTAAGAGCCACGCAACCCTTTCCCACCCCAGCCCTTTCTCCTGTGGGAAGTGGCACTACTGGTTCAGTACAGACATTTTGCATCTGTGAATGTCCTTCCCTGGAGAAGGGTGGGCAAAACCCCAGGCAGGGAGCCCCAGCCTGTAGAGGGTGCAGGGAACAATCCCCTGGGAGCATGTGTGGACTAGTATATCAGGGAATTCCCTTTCCTTGGAGAGCCTCTTGACTCCATGGAGAGCCCTGGGCACAGGGCTGCCAGGGGTGGCTGTCAGACATGTCACTCACCCTTAGGTATTGCCAGTGCTCTGCCATTCCCCGGTGTCTGCGCTCTGTGCATGGGCAGCTTTCACATCTTTGTGTGAGTCTGCTGCCAGGTTAGTGTGGGGTGCAGACCCAGCACATTGCAGCAGATGGTCTGGAAACCATGCCAAATTTGACCCTTTTGCCCCCATTCCCAAAGTTTGCTGTTGTGGGATGTCCCCAGCACTCACTCCCCAGACTGCCTGAGCTGTCTGTGGTCCAAGCACCCCCATAAGCGGGAGCTCAGCTGGCACCTGGTGTGCAGGCTCAGTGTCAGTGGGAGGCTCCTCTCCAGCCCAGGGTCCCTGTGTCACCTTTGTCACCTCAGCCTCATTAAGGTGCCCCCTTTGCAGTGTGCCCGGGGGGGCTGGAGGCGCCGTGCAATAACCGTGGGACCTGCGACGACAAGATCGGCGGCTCGGGGAGGTGCAACTGCAGCGAGGCCTTCATCGGGACCAGCTGCGAGCTGTGCGCGCCCGGCAGATACGGCCCCGAGTGCCGAGGTACGGGGGGGGGGCGGTGGCTGTGGTGCTGCTTGAGAGGGGGTAGGGGCTGGGCTGACCCCCTCGCAGCTGACAGCATGGGAATCAGGGCTGCCACGGTCCCCACAGTGCTCGTGTCAGACCTCTGGGGACATCCCTCCCTGGGGTCTTGCCAGACAGCTGTAGTTGGACAAGACTGGGTGGCACATGCTGGGAGCTGTGGCCAGTGCAGCCATGCTGGCAATGGCCTCACCTCTGTGATGAGACCACAGGGTCAACTCAGCTGAGAGCCCAGGCTGACAGAAAGCTTTAAGATGTATTTTGAGCTGGGGGACACGTAAGTTGTGATGTACAGAAAGAGCATCTCCTGGGATGTGCTCAACAGGGCCTTGTGCCCACGTGAGACAAAAGCCAAGGGAAGGAAAAGAGAGTCCCTCCATCCTGCCATCCCAAACTGGGCCTTATGGGCTCTCCAGGAATGTGTTTGACAGCTGAATGTTTGCAGGGTTTCAGTGAGGAAACACATTTCCAGAAATGCCCAGGGGAGAGGAGTGATGGGGGTTTGTGGATGCAGAGGCTTTCCCTCCTCTGTGAAGGACACCTGTTACAGAGGAGGACAGTGAGAGAAGGGCTGTATGTGCTGCCATGCCCACCTTCATACCTGCCCACACATGCCACCAAGGCAGGTGCCTTGACAGTGTGTTTATCCCTTCCTCCCAGAGTGTAACTGCACTGAGAACGGCGTGTGCAATGCGGGGCTGCACGGTGACGGCTTCTGCTTCTGCGCCGAGGGCTGGACTGGAGACCGCTGTGAAATCAGAACAGGTGAGGGATGCCAAGCCCCACCACCCACTATTCCCTGGGACCTGCTGCCATATGGCTGCTTTTCCAGTAGCTGGATAGTTCAAGCAGCAGATTAGAAATATCTCCAAAAAGGAGCTCTCAGTTGTGAGGCTCATCCTGAGATCTGTTGAATTTCACAAGGGTTGGGGTGGTGAGGAGGAGGAGGAGGAGGAGGAGGAAAGGTTCACTGGAACGTTAACAAGCCCCTGAGCTCAGAGGTGGTCCAAAAAGAGCTTGAGCCTGAGGTGGAGGCCTGAGGTGCATCCGATGGAGTAACAGCCCTGTGTGTTTGGGCAAGGCACCTGCAGAAGAGAACAGGGGGGAGGAAGAAAAGTGGGAGCATGGGGCAGGTGGTGGTGATGGCAACCGTGCCCGCGTCACAGCCCTTAGATCATCCTGACCCGTGTGTGCTCTGGTTTCAGTGGTGACTCCCACCTGCTCCCCACCGTGCCACCCCCAGGCCGTTTGCCGCGCCGGCAACCTCTGCGAGTGCGACCTGCACTACGAGGGGGACGGGAGAGTGTGCTCAGGTACAGGGGAGCCACGGCGGCTGGGCTGGAGGGGTGGTGGGCAGGGCAGTTGGACCGACCCCCATGAGGTGCTGTAGTTAACGCAGCACTTTCGCCCCGCGCAGTGATCGACATGTGCAGCCAGGACAACGGGGGCTGTGCCCGGCACGCCCAGTGCTCCCAGCTGGGCGTGAACGTCTCCTGCGCCTGTGATCCCGGCTACAGCGGCGACGGCTACGTGTGCGACCCCATCGATCGGTGTGCGGACGGCAGGAACGGGGACTGCAGCCAGCACGCCTCCTGCATCAGCACCGGCCCGGTGAGCGTGGCCCCTGCACCGGGGAGATCCTCTTGCCATCCCAGTTGGCTGCCCTGGGACGCTTCAGGCTGCTGGAGGACACTGATGTGACAGTGTCCCCACTACTACAGTCCCCTGCCCCTCCTCCCCGGTCCCCTCAGCTGCTGTGCTCATCCTGCAGGTCCTCACCACCACACCATGCCCTTGGTCTGCTGCCTGGCTGCAGGGATGGTCGTGGGGGTGTTATGCTGAGGCCATTTGTCCCCATTCCTGTGTCTAAGGGGCATAAGATGCATCAGTTGTGGCATTCCTGTGCTGTTTTGGGGCTTCTGGGATGGCCCTTCAAGGACAATGCTGGCCATTTTTGCAGAGGAACCAGAGCTGCTCACTGCAGGCCAGAAGATGGGACTGGGACCATGATGTAGTGCAAGAATCATGAGCCACATATTCAAAGCTCAGCTCAAACAGCATGCGACAAGGAGACAGTGTGACATTTTCTGGGTGTGTCCTCTGTCCTACAGAGGCCATGTGGCCTTTCATAGCTTTGTCAGAGTCTGGTTAGGCTGTAGAGGCTTTCTGAAGGCTCATCCCTGTCTTCATAGGGATACAAGGATCCCCAGCTGGCATCTGTGTGTTTGCAGTCACACAAATGCCACCCTCCCTTTGTGCTGCAGAACGAGCGGCGCTGTGAGTGCAAGCAGGGCTATGTGGGAGACGGGATCCAGTGCCTGGAAGAGGTCGTGCCCCCCACGGACCGGTGCCTGGAGGACAATGGGCAGTGCCATCGGGAGGCCATCTGCACTGACCTGCACTTCCATGGTGAGTGTGCTCACCCCCACAGTGCCAGGGATGGTGTTCCATGGAGAGGTCATGCTCCGTCATCCTTCACCTTCTGGCTAGGGCTCCCCTCGGGAGAGCTGGAGGGTGGGATGGACAAGGGGACAGGGACTCGTCTCTGTAGCTTGATCTGGTTTTCACATTCCCCTTTTCCCTACTTGTCATACGGGGAGGAAAAGCCATCCTTGTCTGGTCCCATGTGATGTGAGATGGCCTCTGGTGGGTTACACTGCCAGGAAGCACCAACTCCCCAGTGGAGGGCAAGAGGCTCCGGGGAAGCCTCTCCCTCGCTTGTCCCTTGGCCACATCCCACCCTTGGCCAGCAGTGCTGCCTGTGCTCACATACGGACCACGTGGCTGCCCGGGGAGGGCGCTCAGTCTGTGCTGTGCTGATGCTCCTGGGCCTTGGTGTTTTGCAGATAAGACCATGGGCGTGTTTCACCTGCAGTCACCCCGAAAAAAGTATGACTTCACTTACGAGCAGGCTCAGGAGGCCTGTGCCGCAGAAGGCGCTTCCCTGGCCACGTTCCGGCAGCTCTCGGCAGCACAGCAGGTCAGGGCAGGGCTGGCTCTGTTGCCTCGTGGGGCTGGGACAGGCAGTGCTTCTCCTGAAGGTCACATGTGGGTGGGTGACCTCTCATCCCCTCAGCCAGGCACTGTTTGCTCCATCAGCAGCCCTGAAACCAGGAGGGCTGGTGGGTCTCCCAGTCACACTGGGATGAGACCTGTGGCAGTGCCTCCACACTTTAGGTGTTGGGGGGGATGTTGGATAAGGCTGCACAACGGGATTGTGCATCAGGGCAAAAAAACTTGGGCAAGAGATATTATTTTTAATCTAATCATTGATTTTCCTTTGGTAGATGGGGTTCCATCTGTGCTTGGTGGGTTGGCTGGACAATGGCACAGCCGGATACCCCACAGCCTACCCCAACCCCAGCTGTGGGTCCAACCACGTGGGCATTGTGGACTATGGCTCCCGAAGCAACCTGAGCGAGACCTGGGATGCGTTCTGCTTCCGGGAGAAGGGTGAGTGGTGCCAGCACATTGCCTGGGGACAGTCCTGCTGGGCACAAGGGCTGTGTCATGGCAGCAGGCACAGAACTGTCCTTGGAGCATGCGGCACGGGCACATGGGCATATCCCCCTCTCCCCCTGCCCATGTCCAGAGGGAACATGCTGGGGTATCCAGAAGCCAAGGAAGGGAGGGTCAGTGTAACTGGAATGGGTGAGTCAAGTCCTGTCTCGGTTTTCCCTTGCAGATCTGACTTGCATCTGCCGTGAGGGGTTTGTGGGAGATGGGTACTGGTGCAGTGGGAGACTCCCCGATGTGCTCGCAGACAACGACCGCTTCTCCACCTTCTATTCCGTAAGGGATGCTCTCCGGGCTCTTCAGCAGTTGGCAACAAGGCAGAGGGAGGGATGAGTCCTAACAGGAAGGAGTGCTGGTTTGGTCTGTGTGTGGGGTAGAGAGTACAAACACAAAGAGGTTTTCATTCCAGGGCTGGGGAGTTCCTGGGCTGGGGAAGCTGATAGTGTTGCATTGCCAGCAGTGTGGTCATGGGGAAGATCTCCCATCTTTTCCAGATGTTGCTCAATTTTGCCAATGACACAGAAGAAGGACTGGATTTTTTCATGTACTTGTCTGATGACTCCGCTCCCAAAACTCTGTTTGTCCCTCTGAACTCTGGCTTTGCAGGCAATGAGGTAAGCAAGCAGGGATGAGTGGCTGCTTGAATGTCTGGGATGAACTATCAGAGCCCCAGAGGAGAGCAGGTGTTGCCAAAGCTGGCATGATGGTGTGAAATAGTTTGGGAGAGGAGGAGGAATGCGGGTCAGAGAGGACTGGCGGTCTCCAGTCCAACTACTCCTTCAGAAGATTTAGGTCAGGTTGCTCAGAGCCTTCTCCAATTGGACTTTGACAATTCCTAAGGATAGCAAATCCCTGCTGCTCTGCATAGTCGTTCTCTGCTGTGTTTTCTATGAATGGAGCTGCCTGTGGCCATGGAGGGAGTCTGGGCTTGGCCAGGGGGGCTGCACAGCAGCAGAGAAGGGGTGAGACCAGCTCAGCTATTTCTCATCCCTGCACACTGCTGCATTTTCAGACACTGACAGGAGAAGAACTGAAGCTTCATGTGTCATCCAGCAATGTTGTCCTCTTCAGCTACAACCTCACAACAGGCACCATCATCCCATCCCAGTCAGGACATGACCTCCACGTATCAGAACTCCCAGTGGGCAACAGTACAGAGCACTCAGTAGGTTTAACCTTGGCAGAGGGCAGAAGAACCCCCACAAGTTTTCACCACATCTCTTCTGAGACAGGGAACAACCGGGAGGCTTTCTGGTGAGATGTCATCACCCGTGTTCTGTTCTGTAGGACGCCAAAGGGATCAATGACACGATGATTGTGGAGTGGGACATCATGGCTTTCAATGGCATCATTCACGCGATTGCAGAGCCCCTGAGGATCCCACCGCCTGTCGTTCACCTCGGCCAGGTGAGTCCGAGGGCAGGAACAGGGAAGGAACGTGCTGAAACAGCACGAGGGGATGAGGGAACAGGGATCCGGCAACTGAGTCATCCCAAGGACTGGCCCCATCCTTTGCCCTCTGCTGTGGCCCATTTTGGGTGGGCTGCCCGCGGCCACATCAGGGAGCGGCAGCAGGAGCTGTGCCGGGGCCGTGCCGTGACGGGGCCGCTGTTTCCGAGCAGGTGAACGGTGCCGCGCAGGGCTCGGGCTCCGTGGCCACCGGGACGGTGTCAGCGCTGTGCTTCGCGCTGGCGCTGGCCGCTGGGGCCGGCATCGCCTACACTGCGGAGGAGGCTGGCCGGCAGGAGGGGCAGTTTTCGGGTATTTCCAGGTACGGAGCGGGCGGGAGGAGCGGGAGGGCGGGGGATGGAGCCCGGGGATGGGAAGCCCGGGGGAATGGAGCGCCGGGGATGGAGCCCGGGGGAATGGCAGCCCGGGGGGAATCCGCCGGACAGGCACCCGACAAGGGGGCGCCAGCGAGCCCGGCCAGACTGAGATGAGGGGGCGGGAACAGAGGACCGGGGGCGGGGCCCCCGCTTCAGCCGCCGCCCCCCGCTCAGCCAAATCCGCGCTTCCCCTCGCAAGGCGGATTCTGGCGCGCTGGACGAGGAGGAGGAGGGAGCATGGAAGGAGGGGCGGGGCCGCGAAGGCGCGCAGCAAGGGCCACGCGCCGGAGGGCCCGCCCCAGCGGCCGCTTCGGGCCATGCCCCAACCCGCTGTACGGCGGCCACGCCCCCACTAACGAATCCGCTGCAACGTGAGACACCACGCTCCCGCCCCGCCCTGCCCCGCCCTGCCCCCGCCCTCCCCTCACGGCGCCTCAACCCTCAAACCACACTCTCTTTGTGCCCGCAGACCCGCCCCTGGCGGACTCCAGCACCGAACCCCCCCGGGTTCCCGCAGTGACACCCCGCACGGACCGGGAACCGGCCCGCCGCGAAATAAAACAGCTCAGCGCCACCGGCTCACTGCCCCGCGCCTGCCCCCAGATCCTTCCCCGCCCGCCCCTTCTCATGAACCCGCCCAGCCCAGCACCCGTCACGTCCCCGTACGAGGTGCTGTCCACCAAAGCCTCCAGCACTCAGGGCACTCAGTTCAGCCGTCCCCAGGGACTCACGGCCCCCTCTCCTGCACTGTTGATGTGTGACAGCCCCCGGGACACAGCAGCCCTCTCCTGTACCCTCACACTGCCCCCGGTCAGGTACGAATCAATCAGTCAGTCACCACCCCACATGCCCCGTTTGCCCCCCCCTCACAGTGAGCTGGTTAGTCAGTTAGTTATCCATGCTGCAGACGTTTATTGAGCTACACACTACACACAGCACAAAGACAAATGCCACGTGCATCTACTACAGCTGTTGATTAGAGCAGCCATGTTAACAGTGATTGTCCAGGGAACTGGACACTGAGTCGGGAGCAAGGCATCCTGAACGTCTGTGACGGGCTGGCACGTGGCACAAAGACGAGGCAGTGAGACACAAGTGACAGACTGAGGGGCCAGCCTGGCACAGCACCAGGGAGGAACGTGTGGGAACCTCTGTGTGCATGTGTGTGTGTGTGTGTGTGTGTGCATGTGTCTGTGTGTGCAACTCTCAGTGAGGGTTGCTGACACACCTTGTACTTCAGCACCTTTCTCTGAGTCAGAGCTCCTGGCAGAGGGTCCTCCACACCAACCTCTCCTTCTGCTGCCCCTACACTGACAACACCCAGCCCCTCCAGCGATTGCCACAGCCCAGTGCTCACAAGCCCCAGGTGTTCCCCCCACACTAATCCCCTGGCCCAGCAAACCCACAGCCCTTACCTGCTGCACAGACACGCTCTGCAGTCACTCCTTTCCTTGCCTGCTCACTACCAGACTCAGGACAAGAAGTGCCTCCATTCACTGTTCCCTCTCTCCTTCCTGTCACCTCAACACCAACTGCCCCTCGAGCAAGCTGGCACTGTCACCCTTATTGCCATCTGCAAACAGTGCAGCAGTGAGGGGAGGAGCAGGAGGACAAGGACCAATGTCTCCACCCCTTCATCCTACAGCCATCACTTCCCACACACCAACCAGCTTTCCAAAGGCACAATGTTCTCCTGTTTCCCAGGGCCAATCAGCAGAGTGGCACAAACTCTCAACAGCTCCTCCCCACTTCAACTGCCCCTCTACCCCTCCCCAATGCCCTGCCTGGCCCTGGGGCAGTCTGAAGCCTGTCCAGGACCAGCATAGCCCCAAGCCAGGTGAAAGCCCACTTTCTGCACCTCACATCCTAAAGCAGCTCTCACCTGCCTGGGCCTCCAGACTGTCACCCTTGTCCCATCCTATACACTCTGACATTGCTATTAGCACCTCTTTGCTCTTCCTCCTCCTGAGGAGGCAGCACATGGCTTTGCATGGCCACACTCCCCTTTCTGACCCACCACACCCAGCAGCACTTCACACCCACACCCACACCCTCCTTGGACAACCTCAGCAGCCCCTCCATCCACTGTAGGCCACATCTCAGTGAACAGGTGGAATGCCACCACCTCTGCTGCCAACCCTGAACCTTCCCTGCAGAACCATCCCTCTGCCACTCACAACAGACCACACCAACTGTCAAAATGGTGATGTCACATGGCACCAAGCCAAAAATACTGACAGTGCACAGCCCTAAACTCACTCAAAAACCAGGTGTATCACAACATTTGAGACCCTGTGACCTACTCCCGACACCCCAGGCTTGCACATCCTGCACAGTTACCTAACAGTTCCCTACCAGAGTCCCCAGCTGGACAAACCAGACTGGTGGGGAGCAGGAATGGGCTGAGGGCTGCTGGTACCAGTTCTGGACAGGTAACACTGCTGATGCTTTGTCATCCATGATGGGCTTTATTGGTTGCCCAGCTGGCAGCCCTGACCCCTCCCTGTCCACCTGCAGAATGACTCACACTGCAGTCCCAAGACACCTGGGCAGCTTCAGCCCTGACTCACCTTGTCACCCCTCCCCTGGGTTGCACTCACCAAGCACTGGAGACGTGGGGCTCCGTGTCTGAGCCACTTCTCTGGGCACAGAGCAGGGAGTGGCTGTCCCACCACCTTCATTAGTTCTCCAGCTGACCTGCTCCTAGAGAGGACTCCCTGCCAGAGAACAAGCACCCAGGCTCTGTGCAGCCTACAACGCACCTCAGGGAAAGGGATGGAGCCAGTGAAGGGAAAAAATAAACACACCATCTACACATGTACGCAAGTGTCAAACGCCCTTTAGTGGTGGACAGAGGTGCTGCTGCCGAGCGGCCCCACAACAGGCCCGGCCATGCTGCTGCCTGCAGTACCTGCCCCTCACCGAATGTGCACCATCTCCTCCAGGAAGGGGGTTTTCATGCAGCCCGTGCAGAGCTGATCCATCCACAGCGGGGCCTCGTGCTGCAGGGGGGTGCGCCGGGGGTAGAAGGTGAAGTTCACGTCGTAGTTGAGCAGGCAGCTGATGGAGGCCATGTAGATGTCGGAGAACCGCACCAGCCGGCGAGAGAAGTACGTGGGGTTGTGGAAGGTGCGGAAGATGCTCCCAAACTGTGGGTTGAACAGGTTCTTCGTCAGCGACCTGAGAGGAAAGAGATGGGGCTCTGTAGATAAAACTGTGGTCACAGGTCAGCAGGTTACAGAACAGACCCAGTAGAGGCCTGAGAGGCCCTGAGAGACTTTATCAGTGAGGGGGGACAATGCTCACCTGATCTCCTGTCGTTCCTTCATCCACTCCAGCAATACTTGCTTTGACTCTGCATCCTGATACATCTGCAAAGACAGCAGCAGAACCACACACATCATTCCTGCAGGCCACACCTCAGCTCCCCCCAGTTTCCACTGTAACTCACAAACCCAGAGCCCACTGCACCAGGAGGAGGATATTTTTGAGAACCAAGCAAGATGGTATATCCCCTCATTCCCATGCTAAGCCCAAAATGCAGACTCAGAAGGCAGCACATTACCTGTCCTGCTCAGCCAGGAGCTGTTTACCTGCATTCTCTCCAGCAGCCCCGTCAGAGCCTGCTGCCAGGTCAGGGAGTGCATGTACTGCTCTGTGTTTATGATCCGGATCTCCGTCTCCAGTTCAGGAACGATGGCTCCAGTCCTCCAGCCATGACGCAGCATGAGGTCCTGGGGGTCACGGAGAAAAAACAACCATGAATTCAACATAAAGACTGAAGGCCAAACACAACCCTGGTTCCTAGAAGAGTGGTCTTGTTCCCATTTTGGATTCTCAGGGGACAGCCATCCATGGCCCGTGCCAGTAACAACCCTTTCCCGGCCAGCAGGATCAGCCATGTGAATCACCTCGAAATGTGGTGCTTGCCTGTGCCTGACAGAGCATGGGGAAGCTGGTGTGCCCTGAGTGTGCCCTGACAGCCTGCAGAGCACCCAGCACAGACCCGAGCACTCAGACCAGGCCCTGCCTTATCTCCAACCCAGCTGCAGCCACAGCAGCCACACGGGCTTGCTCCCGCCTCTCTGGAGAGCAGAGACATTTCACTCACCGCAAGGTCACTGTACAGATGGTCACCAAAGTAGAGCACTTTGGACCCACGCCAGCCCGTCAGCCTCAGGAAATCAAAGAGGTTACCCTGCAAGGGACAGGAGTGCAGAGAGAAACGTGGGTACAGGCCACCTCACCACATGCAGCTGTGAGCACTCAGAAGTATCAACCTGCTCGCTACCCCACTATCTACAACCAAGGGTTTCTGTCCTTCCCCACCTCACTGCACTTATGTGACAACCCCCCTGTACATTCCTCAGCTTTTCTCAGACTACAGAATAACTCTTTGGAAGAGTTTTTGCAAATAGGCAATTTGAGGGCACAGCAAGTCAAAAGGACAACATGGACTAAAAAGGCAACAAGAGGAGACAGACTTCATTTCTTAGACACTGTTGCTGCTGTTTGCATAAGGGTTCCTCAGGACTCCACTGGCCCAGCAGGGAAACGGACCACAGCTTTGGGGGGAGGACAGTCCTTTTGCTGTGCTCTGGTCACCTCAAACAGCAGTGGACCTGACAGCCAGGAAACTTGTACTTGGAGCTCCACGGAGACACAGACCTGTTCCATGACCTTCGGGTCCTGTCCTCCTCCCTCCTGAGGCAGCAGACCAGGGGAGGGATGGGAGTACATAAGTATCACATAGAAAACACCACATCTATCGGAATGGAGGGACTAAGGGCATCACTCAAACTTCCCAGTCCCCAGGGCAAACCTCCAACCCCTGATATCCCATTTGTGGGACATATAAATGCCATACAGCCATGCTCCAGGGGACAGGAACAGCTCAGGGGCCTATGGCAACACCACCAGAACAGCAAGGTCCATGGCCACTAACACTTGACAGAAAGAAGGATATTGTGGCACTCCAGGAAATGAAAAATCCTGGAGACAAGGTGGGCTACAACCAGGATACACACTCTGTCACATCCCAACAACCTCAATGCAGTCAGATGAACATCATGATCAGGGGAGAACTGGAGAGGAGAACAAAATCCTACTCCATCCCTCCTTCCTCATCTTTTCCCTTCCTCACTGCACCATTCACTTGGGTGAGCAACCTGTGGCCACAAGACGTAGGTGGTCAAGAGCAGGATTTAATTCAGCAATAAATTCTAGAAATAAAAAGCTGAGGTGCGCCTTTTCTCCTGAGGGAGCTGCTAACCCACTGGGAATGAACTATACTTGCATATTCCCAGCTCCCAGCTCCTGGCAGAGGCTGGGACACTATCCCAGCACTTTAGCAGAC